CAAGGGTGCTAGACAAGCAAGAGCCTTAAGGGTTTAAATAAATAAATCGAACAGAGCTATAGGTGATGCCCCCTTACGATTCAGACTTGATCCATTGCACCATAAATTCAAATATCGAAACTTTGTCACGTCCATGAATTCGCGGTATTGAAACTTATGCACCAGTACTTTGACGGTAAACTTCCAAGGGCATTTGTAGGTTATTTCACCAAGCTAGTCATTTGTATTGTACAAGATCGGCTTCGCAAGGTGCTTTCCATGTACAGAGATACACAATATGTAGAACGCAGAAATCCATCAAATACATGGGTGTGAAGTTATGGAACAATCTAGCAGGTTCTCTAAGATCACTGTCTGATCATGGTTTTAAAAGAGAACTCAAAATAAAATACATTTAGTGACTACGTTCCTTTGAATTAATATTTAACCAATACCTGTACTTCTCTTCTATGCAACTGACCCCCGACCTCCTATTATTCTGCCCAAACATCCGATTCTGTCCAGTTCTGCGGGAAAATCTGATGAGCGTGGAATTTTCGATAACTAAATTTTTAATTGCTTGCCTGCGCCATGCCAGTGATCAGGATGATCCCGTTTGAGTAATTAATATAGTATATTATTCTGTATTTATTTTCCCTTCTATGTATCTGATAAATTTATACATTGCATTCAGTTGCATTGTTGGTCGCGGATTTTGAACAACTTGCTCATAACTGGAATGTTTTGTTTATACAAACCACTCATGAAACATATTTGGTAATATTTTGTTATCAAAAAATGTTGCTTTTACTTTTAAAATATTTTTTGAAGTGTTTTGGTGTTTCATTAACCTTTTGTGCTCACTAACCTGAATCAGCGAGTTTTTTAGGTGTCGCTGCCTGAATCCTTATCCTCGCTACTCCTGTCACACAAACTGAGTTAGTTTCCTATTGAGCCTCCTAGTCTTGTTTTTTCTTATGATACGTTTATTTTGTGTTGACGAATAATTGATGATTGATTGATTTAAAAGCGTTTAAGTTTGCAATATACGATACACAAAATTTCTTGTTTTTCCACACTCCAAAAGGCCCCTCCTGACTAGGCCATGTGCCTAAGCACGTGCTTATTTTGCTTGATGGTTGATCCAGCCCTGACTGAGGCAGAGCCGCAGTCGCGACCAGAATTTGCAGCGTGGGTTTTTAAAAAGTAAATTTGCAGATGATCACAAACTCGTACGTCTTTTACGACAGTATTTCAATGAGGGGTTCATTGCTCACTATCCATCAATCTTTCCCCAAAACCGAAATAACTTTGTGGATATCTTTTTATGGTATCGTTAGATATTCGTGAATGCTTGTGCCTGGCGTTGGTCAAAAAGAAAGGCACGAGTAAGCGTCATATTAATAAAAACTTCACCAACGTTCAAACAAAAAATCGTACTGGCTACGTACTTGGGCAGAAATAGGCTGTCGACGCACAGCAGTAAGCATCATTTACAGCTAGGTAGACATACTATATCATTATTAAGTTTGCTCATGCGTTCGTAAATTCGAAACGCGCGGAAGATAATAATGTGCGAGAAGATTTCTGAACTCGGTGCTATGGCGGTAAAGTTCCCACTACCGCAATTTGGTTTCGTGTTCATCCAAGTCCACGCGCCTTGAACGCTAAACCGAAATTTACTATTTCCATACCCCGAGTAGGGTGGTAACTTGACAATGGACCGTAGTTGGAAACAAATGTTCTTATATTATATCCTATTTAAGAACGAGGCAAATCATCACAAGGCAAACTTATTTTGGGTCCAATTTCGATATTTATGAAAAAATTCAGAACATATGGTACAATGGACGTAATTGAAAGAAATTTTCACGAAAAATAGCTCATTAATCAGAAGATCGTCATAATTGGAATACCGTTTCCTGTAAACAATTCGGGTGCCTTTTTTCAATTGTAAATGTTCCGCGAATTGCAGATGTGTCAATTTTATAAACTCGCCTAAATACGCCAATTCATTCCATTCTAATAAACTTAGGCAATGGTGGGGAGGTGGGTCATTTTTTTTTTCTTTTTCTTTTTTTAGCCCTACAATCTGCACATTCATTTGATATTGCGTGGCTAACGCAGAGAAGGTGAATGTAGTTTTTATTCGGCGACTAGGAGATTCTCTGATGATACACATCTCACAGCCAAAATGCGTTAAAAAACGTTTGTCATGTGTCCCACTGCGCCCCAGTTGTGGGGCACATTTGGATAGGCCGTAGGGCACAATGGGACAGTTCGTTGAATTTACCGAAGTATGCTTTTAAAAATAGGCAAAGAATCAGCATCATCTAAAGAACTGTGGGACTTCAAATTTGGAGACTTACTTTTTTTTAAATCGATGTTTAACCAAAAATATTTCAGATCTTTTCGCAAAAAAATGCCTAAACAAATTTTATGCATTGCCGACATAAAACAACTTTGGGAACATTCGTGTTTTGAGATTCCGCATTGTAGATTTACTTGTTCAATATTTTAAATTCTTATTATCATTAATAAAGTGATTGTTTTACTTTTGAATTATGCCTAATTTCATTCAATTGATCATGAGTTCTGAAACTTTCATTCTCAACGATGACAATTCTTTGTTAAAAAGACCATAAACATCAAATACAGGTTTTTGAGTGATTTTCAAAAAAGAACAAAAACCATTTTTTAAAAACTAAACTGTTCACTGCGTCCACTGAAACAAAACCAACATTTACATATCAAGTAAAATTACTAATTCCGGCCCAATGCACATTATTTATTTTTTCAAATATTTTTGAATCTAAAATGTATTCTACATTGGACCATGGGCCAAAAGATACCCTAATATCACACAAAACATAACGCATCTCTAGGCCTTTGAGAACTTGATGGATCAAATACTGTCGAATTGGGGACATTCATAACCTTTAACCTGTTGCGACTTCCGCATTCACCGATGCAAAAAGATGTGACGCCTGCGATTTCTTGCTCTGAACGTCAACGCGCTCAGGCCTGACTTACAATGTTTCTTGTGTATAAAACGCAATGTAATGGTGTTTCATTGCCGGATTTATAGAAATACTGTTTTCAGATGCGTTCGATATTTCAGTAAAAAAAACATACACATGTACGATGTACCGTAGGTTCTGCTGTAATCATCAGTTTTTAAATCGTGAACATCTGAAAAAATGTGATATACATATATACTTTATCAAACTAAATCTGCCATTATTATGATCATAGCTATAACCAATCTTACCTTATAACATTTGCAGAAGTAAACAGGATAACTTTCTTTTTCTTTGGCATACCGGTAGGTAGCCTACCTTTTGAGCTGCTACCAGTACCGGTACCTGCATGCAACCATACCCCCCATTTCAACACGTTAATTTACTCAGATGACATAATGCCTCAGAATACATTTCGTTCTTTCAAATAGTATCTGTTAGTTCCCGCTACGAAACACCATGACATTCCAGTATTCATAAGAAATATTGCAAGTCAGGCCTAGTCGCGTCGGCAATCAGAGCAAGAAATCGCAGCCGACATCAAGTCACAATAGGTCAAAAGTTAGGAATGTCCCTAATTGTGCCCAGTGAGAGCGTGTCCCACTGAACCCCGGTTCATTGTACCCTGTAGGAGATGTCCCACGTCGAGATTAGAAGGCACATCCACTCGCCAACGTTATGAATATTTCACTATAAACTAAAGCTGAAAAATACCAGACAGTGGTTTGTCCTGTTGCAAAGTAAAAAAAGAAAAGACTGGGATGGCGAAATTTTAGTTTCAAGAAAAGACTAAGATGGTGAAATTTTTGTATCGACCCTCCTAAACCATTTTCATCTTATAGCTTGCGTCACTCTACAGGGCATTTGTCCATTTGCGGGAACGTTGTAACTCACCGAAAGGTGGGTTCAAACATCGAACCGAAGACCTGATTCCGGATATAGTACGAGTGTGAAAGCTGATTCCCCACTGTGCCCCATGTCCCACCGTGGCCTACCTTCCACTATTTATTCAGTAAGAAATTGCGGATAATACTAAATCTCACGACATAATATGACACTACAACGTCAATCCCACCCTGTGACGATCCAACGAGTTTTTGATTTATTGTCATCAATGGTTCGACTTCCTTTTAGTTTAAGAATGCCGTGCGGGAACAGAATATTCTTGTTTGAAAAATCCGAGGTTCAGGCGGTTGACTATCAAAAGCTCTGTTAGTTTGGAAATTCTAATTCTTCATCATATATGGAGTTAATATTAATGAAATTATGAACATGCTCAATTGGTCAAAATCCGTACTGCCATTTGCTGTTGTAAGCGCTGATATGATGACACAGTGCACTAGATTCATCCGTGTTTGTGATTGTATATACAGTTGCTTTTTGTGTAAAAATTCACTAGAGTATGTGGTTTGTATTTAGTTCTAGATATACCAATTAGCTTTAGATATAATATAAATCCGTCTCGTCGAACGGACACCTTTCAAGACAAGTGACCGTTTATTGGAACCTGGGACAAAGCCTTCTAACACGACAGTTTCACAAATTTTATCTGTTGACGGAAAAAATATTCAACTGCTGTCAGCTGACAAACACATATGATTTACAGACTTCACGAGCCATGGGCAGTATGAGATTCATTCCCAGTCACCCTAGAAATAGTTTAAAAATACATGTAGGCATAAGCGCCACTGGTAAGCTACAATCATTACTCGTACAGATCCCTAACCTAAAACAACAAAACTTTCCATATGCTATTCTGTGGTCCAAAAAGTCGGCATACCCAGATTTAGCTTACTTTTTAGCGTTGGGAAAGCGCCGTGTCACTGAACGCAATGGCGTTATTGCTTGATCTGCGTGGATTACTCTCTGGTCACATGGCATCTTCCGGGTTGGCCTTTTGTTGTCGAATGATGTTTAAAAATGCAAATGCGAACCAACAATAACTATTCCCTTTTATACTGCTTTGGTAGCAACACAACCATTTGAATAATATTACTTTATTATTCTGATTAATAATTTCTTGACACACATAATCATAAAATAGAATCAAATGACTACTGCCGTGGAATCGGTGAAATGTTCCAACTGGTTTGCAAAAAAATCCGAATGCGGCTTCTAACTCAAGAATAACAAAATTTAGATCCAGAAAAACTTCAGGTTAATATAGCTTTTTGCTTGTTTATGATGAAGTTTATTTTTAAAGAGACTATTTTTACAATATAGTTCACATAATTTGGGGCTGATAAATTTTAAACTTGTGATTACAAACAAGTCGACTCCGGCTTCACTACCGGCAGAAAATATTACAAACTCTGACGTCAAGCATTGAAATTTAGGCTCGGGTATAGGAGATATTTGACATACAGAAATTATCCCATGAATACATACAAAGTAAAAACAAATTGTCAAATAAAACCGAAAAATCCCTAAACAAAAAAATACGAGGACTTAATAGTCTTGTCGCAAATCGTTGGGACTCGGGTATAGGTAGGTATGGTTAACCCCTTAGGAAACCCACAAAACCCATGTCCTTGTCGCTAAATATTGAAAATCCGATATGCGAAATGACATTGATTATATAGAATTTATTTAAAGCTGGACAATGAATTTATGACCAAAGAACAATAAAATTGTTGCACTTATAGACTACGAATCATGCAACGTTTCTATATACAATCATAACCTGTAGTTGCTTTAGAAATCGTGAATTCAAGATTGCCCAGTAGTTTGTCTGGCTATGCTGACATATCGATATCAGTATGGAAAGGTTTGGTATAACTTTAGGATAGTACAGATCCAGGCTTATAAATCTAGTGTTCAAATTTCTTGCTCGTAATAGTGGCTCTATGCGTAAACTGCGTGTTCAGAGCTTTGTTCAGAAAAATTGAGCGTTTATGTGAAATACGAGATTACGTAAGTTATATAATATAAAGCATGCTGAAACAACTGTATAATGTGAGACTGAATAAAGATAAAGTTGTGAATAAATCAGAAATGGTCACGAAAAAAAAAGTGGTTGTGAAAATCTCGGGTTCAAACCCCATTCCCGCCACCTCACCATGGTCGAAGGATTTTCTTTTTCCTGTTCTCGTGAATCTATTTCATAAGACGTTTCACAGTTTCATCCCAAACAAGGCTGTTCTGTGCGAGAAGCCACTGATACATAAGAAACTGATATTTTCACGTCTTAAATTTATTAGACCCTGAGTGAGGCGGTGGGCTTGGGGTTTGAACCCGAGACTTGAGACGCCAACATAGTTAAGTTCACTTCAACTGGATATATTTGAATGTAATAAAATAACAGACCTGCTGTTCAAAATGAGCGGTAATATGAACAGTGAAATCACATTAAAATAAAATAGTTTCAAAAAATCATTCTCATCGAAATCAAAATTAGGGAAAATAAAATCGTCCGAATATTAAAATCTTTCTTCAACAGATGATTTCATGAAAGTCAATTCAAGTTTGTTTATTTCTGTTGTTGCTCAGATCTTCTTTGACGAAGCCAAACAATTTTGCCGTCATGATCGTATATCCTCACACCCAGTTCCTATAACAAACAATAAAGATTCATTAGAAATTTATACAGAATCACAGATATCGGGGATAGGAAAGTTGATCAGATGGCTTGAACCATTCTAGATAAAATATAACTTCTATCAATGTTGGAAATGGCAAAGTAAACTCTAAATAACAATCAAATCTGCTGCACTGGATTCATTGTAGGGACTGTTGCTTGGTTACCGCTTCTTAACCGTCTCATAGGCTTTCCACTCCGCCTATATAATAATATCCACCCCAATTGTAATATTATGAGTCAATGAGTAAGAATGTTTTCTCATCATTTCCCCAAATTATCAGTAAATTTACAAAAAATCATAGTAAACTTGATGTGAGCACGATTTTACAGTTTTAAGCAATAATCGATCGCGCTTGGCCATGTATGAAATTTGTCTGGTTTATCTTTTACTATTGTTCTATAAAGCATGGCCATACATGAATTTGCTGAACTTTCCTCTCGCAACCAGATCCAATCACCTAATCTCCTACACATGCATCAATATCATGTTTTGCAACTTCAAAGAAACGAAAAACATCTGAAATTCAATGCAAACAATTCTCACCGTTGTTGGAATTGAATCCAATTTCCTCTGAATCATCTCAATATCTTCAGGTTCTACTCTGTAGGCCAGCCACATCTCCTCAGTGATATGAGGCAAGATGTCGCAGAATATAACAGCTTTATCATGTGGGAGAGGTGGATCATTCTATAAACAAGGGAGCAATTCTCATATATAGGAACACGAAGGACATCGGTACCGGTGAGGAATTAGATGAGCATGGTCGGCGGACAAAGGTGACCGGGACAGTGAAGCAGGATGGAATGAAAAGTGTTCCCCTTCAATTAAATTAAAGCAGCAAAATTTTGAGTGAAATATCGGCCGCACGGGGCTCGAAGTAAATTGATTACCCTTGTAGAAAAAAGTTTTATTTTTCAAAAATAAATTGATTGGTTCATTAGTTGCGGAGAAGCGACTTTCACACGACAAGAATTCAGAAAAATGTTCCATGTTTGCACTCAGTGTAATGAGAATACACATTGGCTTGAGACAGTATGGATTGTTACAGTGGAAAAAAACAAATGACGTCATATGAGGTTTGATATAGGAGGGTTGTTTTGATACCATACTATGACATCACACTGCTATTTATGCCTCCGGGATAATATGAGCCAAAGGTTGCAAAACTAAGTTTATGAAATGCTGGGTTAATCCGAAAACGGTTTCAATGTGAATTATAGGGTTGGTTGAATGACATTAAACAGACTTTTATATTCACTGTGCAGTTAACTTGGTGTCGATATCGTAAATATAATGAGTGAAAAATATGCGTAAATTAATTTTCAATGCGTGAATATACATTGGAAAAGTACCGCATGGGACGGAACGATTAAAATTATCTAAAACATTTATTTCCAGCCTTAATAATTGAATGCCAAATTCCGACTTACACAATATATATTCTTATTCAATGCATTCAATTTACTAAACTTAAGAAAATTACGGACGTAGTTTAGATACATTTGGTCAACTACTTGTCTAAAGCCTTGTATAGAGTCTGCATAACATCTGGATTACCGATAGAAAAGACGACCCCACAGATTGAGGAACCCGAGTTCAAGCCCGGGTTAGTCCAACGGTCTTCACGTTTTGTTCTTTGTAAAATTTATGTAATTGCTGAAATAAGGCTTTATTCAGAGTGATATGCCACTTTACAAAAACTTTTTTTTCTAAAATTTGGGGGAAAAAATCAGAAAAAAGTGTTTATTTAACGTGTCTCGGACATAATTTGTATAAATTTGGTCAATTATGGAGAATGGAGTTTGCATAACAGCTAGATTACAGGCATAGTGAAGTGATATGCTTGTCTGGTGCCTTGTTCAGAGTAATATGATAAAGGAATGTTGTTGAAAGAGAAATAACCGAACAAGTAGAATCAACTCACCTTGACTGCTTCATCTACAATCCTCTCCAACTAAAACAAAATGAAACTTTGTAAATTAAACAGTGATGGCATTTGTAGTATGGCTCGGGGTAATACTTAAGAAATGATGGAATTATCAGTCTGACATCTTGAGTTCGAGCCCTGGTCAAACCAGTCAGCCCAAACTTTTTATACCTTCTAGGATATTTGAATTAGATCAGATGTCGTCATACTGATAACAGGAACGCCACAATAATCATTTTAGCTCTGATTACAATAAAAATTAATATTATTTTACAAGTTTAAAATTTTGACGTGGCCGGTTCAAATTCAATAAATTGAAGTTTAATAAAAAACTTCAAAACCTAAGAATAGGAGTCGACACTTCGTACGAAAAGAAATTCATGCGGTGAATATAAAATGATTTCATACTGACACTGTAATTCAAACAAGTGAACTCACTTCAGTAACAGGTTCGGTAGCAAGTATCTGTAAAGCAAAGGCTAAACTTTACAAAGTAGAACTATAGATCTGGTTGCAAAGTCAGAATACAAGTAAAATAAATAAAGTTCAACAAATTTTCTGTATTTCTAGCGACCACCCTGTATATTTGCTTATGCATAGATAACACACTGGTTATATGTGGCCAAGAGATCAGAGAACCTGGGCGAGACCTTTGTGCGAAAACCTCGAAAAAGTAAATGGGATTTGACGATATTTTCTGTGATAGTCAGTAGTTTATTTTATCACAAACCGAAAGTACACATTGGATGAACATAGTTAGAATGATAAAAAAATGCACTTCAGTGTAAATGGAGACGCAATAGAAAGTGAAAATCGAGAGAAGCAGAATCGATTTTGAACAAAACTAACGCAAAAGAAGATCCTATTCGTGAATGGGCCGATATGTATTTTACTTTATTTATAAAACTTGATTCAAATTTATTACAAAGCGATTTTTGAGCAACAGTGGCGTAACCTGGTCAAAGAAACGTTTCCAAATTTTAGGAGTAATATGAAGGTAAATTTAAATTCATTAAAAATTTTACTACTTTGCTTAGAAAGACAAAAACGAAGAAATAGAATGTCTCGGGAGGCTTGGGGAAAACTGGTGCAGGGAGTAGTTTCATCGTTTCGCATAAAATGGTTTGCAACCTTCATTTTTGCTGGGAACCCTTGGTGTGAACCAATAATCACAGGGGCGACAACTTGCTTTTCAAAACTCGACAATTATGCCTAATTTGAACTGAGCACTAGATGTTCGCAGTCGAGATGATGTAACCAAGCTGGTAACACGCAATAAATACATTTGAATCGATATTTTTTCCGTGGCAAACATCCAATGACTGCGGAAAAGAATCGACATAGCCTAATCTATTACACACTGACCGAGGTAAATGTTCAAGGGATTGGACTCGAGATCCATAACAAATAAATTAAACTGACTCACTTTTTCTTTAGGTTCATTCTGAACAGAAAAATAATTTCATTGAGAAAAATTTGAAGCAATAGAGATGAGTAGCTTACATAGCAAGGTATGGAAATAAAAAGTTAATATTGCATTGAAATATCAAGATAAAACGAGAATCACTTTCAATCAACTCACCGGAATTCCAAAAAGAGCCTCCTTTATCTGCAAATAAGAGATCAAACATAATGAATTATGAGCATGGTGTGGCATTTGCTTTAAGTAATGGCTACGAAATTGTTAACAGTGAATGACCCATCGTCTGTTACTTTAACCTGTCTTTACCGCATTATTTACTGAAGTGTGGGAATGGGGAGGTCTGCTTTATTTTATTGTTACATTATGTAGTCCAGTGGTTCTCAACCTCTTTCAGTTCGCGGACCGGTAAAATTCCAAAACAAATTTTGCGAACCGGCGGACCTTCAAAATTAACCAAAAATGTCATGAATACAAAACATAGTCGAAAGAATGCAATTACGACAAAATGAGGCGGTGCAAAAGAAGATATATATATAATCCAATTTAATGAGGAATTTGCTGCTGTCGTTTCGATATATACGTTTTAAACGCGGCTCTAATAAAGTTTCTGCAAGGCGACGTAAAGCGTTGACTTCCACGCGATTTCTCTGTTTGGTCTTGATGAGAGGTAACGTTGAAAAGCTTTTCTCACAAAGGTAAATTGTACAAAAACCAGCAGTAATTTAATGGCTCTGTCACTGAGCTCGGGATATTCGTTTTCAAGAGCATTTCGGGGCATGTTGTAAAAAGTTGAAGTAGCAGTCTCTTCCTCTGTCCTGTCAACACCACCAACTGGGTTTTCATGCCTCCATTTTACTATCAAACTTCGCTAAATTATAGCCTACTGTCAAATTACGGAACGTGCAAACTTTTCAATCAGGTACCGTACTATGTGCTATCAAACTACTCGGTTATGAAGTAAGCCGCCGTTATGAGGCCATAGATTTAACGAACATCCAGCCGTTCAGGGCTTAAATCAGGGGTGACGAACCTATTTGCTATCGTGAACCATTTTAACCAGTCACCGCTGAGTAAGCGCCTTTTTAGTCTTACTACCTGTAATTTTTATTAACAAAAACAAACAACTGCATCCATACGGATATATTGCAGCATAAAATAAAAAGGAACAGTCAATGAATATTTTGTTCAGTGACGAATTTTGGAAATTTTTAGCTTTACTAAGCGCTTTATATAAGGACGAACAGATGAGTCGAGATGACTTGGCAAGTCTCAATTGCATACTAAGATTTTCGTCTGTCAGTCATGAGCTGTATCGATTAAGTTGGGATATTTTGTGGCGTCATCTCACTCGGCCGCGAGCTCCGCCCGGCTTGAGCGTTCAAGATCCGAATTCCTGTTCGATTACCGCAGCATTTTTAGTCCAATACCGGGGTATCACTGTACAATCAAAAAAATAAATTGTAGTCTTTGATATTTTATCGCAGATCTAGGGATTTCTCTAACGTTGACATCAAGGATATAATCTTTAGTGGTAGCATTGCGGTAGAGCGGAAACTGTTTTGCAAGAACAGATCAAATTTGTATGATTCGTAACAATGCAAAAATACGAATCAAAACTAAATATAATACGGGTAGTTTGAAACACTATTTTATAGCTGCGGATTGTCGTGATATTTCATAGTAATGTTCTTATTTTGTCGACGCAACCGCAGGTTATATTAAACACACAAATTCAAACTAATAAAGAAAAATATGAATAGACTCGCATTGGCCGATTGCATACTTTGCGCAAATGCAGAATCATCATGCCGAATTGTGGCGACAGTTTTATAGTAATTTTCGGATTCTTTTCAATCCCCTTCCCCTTTTTGGTAATTTTGACATTGCGCTCAAACGTATTTCAACCTATGTCTCATCGAAAGTTCCTTTATGACATTTTGTGTCGAGTTAAGATGCAAAATTCTAGTTAATAATGCTTCAGGGACGTATTTCGGGAACTTTTGTACAAAGCCCCCGCCATAAAAAACACTACAGCCTCCGTTCAGCTAAAATAAAATTAGAAATAATCCAGTTACGGTTTTATAGAGTGAGGGCTAGGAATGTAGATTGCGCCGGAAATTCAAATCTTCCTTCTCATTACGAACCTGAACCGCAACTGTATATTTACTATTCCAGAACGTGGTGTTTTTCTGCTTCGGAAGATCCGCATTTGGCAAGACTTCGAATACAGAAAATGTGAATGAATCCCTCCTGTGACAATTAACCGATTATTGAAACGTGGGCATTTTTTCAAGATCTTCCGTTGTTTTAATCATTGAGCTGAAGTTATAAACTTTTTATTACTTTCAAATATCACGTGTATCGTGCGCCGAAACATTCCACAAAATAACGTTACCCCTTCTCCGTTAATCTTTGTGCGTTTTCTGATAAGATAGCGTAACTATGCCCAAGAAAATGGTCATTTTGATTCATTGTTAAAGGTATTGACAAAATTAAATGTCAATGATGATCCATTAAAATAGATGTATTGGAAATAGTGTTGCCAGTAATATTAATAATACTGACACTGAATGCTTCGCGGGCCGCACGAAATTCTCTGGAAACATCGACAGTGGACTTCTCATCAAGTTTGGTTGTTAGACTAATACCGGTACTACGATTCAATAGGAGTTAAATAATCACAAAATGAATGGACATGCTGTCAATACTTTGTATTTTGCAATTTGCTTATAATATATTTATATTGGAATATATTTGGCGGACCGGCAGCAAGGTTGACGCGGACCGGCGGTTGAGAACCACTGATGTAGTCATTAGTAGTATTCGAAATAGGAAAAAACGAAGATTGCAACTGTTTATATGAAAGCTCATCAATAGCTCACGCATAGTTAGGTTAAATATGCACTTGGTCTAAGAAAACTATTTTTTAAATATTTTCACGAAAATAATTTTGTCAAAATTATGATATTTTTCGCATAATCACTAATTATCCACAATATCGGTCGATATGGATCGAATATCACTGATTACCAACACAAGTTATGCGGAATGCAACAGCAAGGATTTACAGTAGCTTAGTTGCTTGACTAAAGCTTTGTTCAGAGAGAACACTCAATCACCTATTGAATTAAAGGTGATCAAGCGAGGATATAAAAACAAAATTTTAAATGGAAGAAGTGAGTGGAATTGTAACGATGTCTGAGCGGATTTAGTCTGATGTTAGAGTCAGAGCTGTATTGTATAATTTAGTGGAGTCGGATATCAGACTACAATTTCGGAGTGAAATATTGTTGACAGAATGTTGCATTTGTGGAGTAGGGAGTGGTGTTGGAGTCAAAATTTTGGTCAATTCGGATTCGGAATGTCGAATTCATTGTCTGATTAAAATTTTCCCAATAGCACTAGAGGTATGGTACTGCTAAAATATCTGTAAAATTACCAGATATTGTCTGTAATTTAACATTATTGCAACTGTTACAAATTCATTTACACTGAAAACCAAGCAACACCTGTCAATCACCATGGACTGTTGTTGGATAGATTTAGTGAAATTAAATTCAATTTCAAACAAATAGTAGGTTTATTCAATCCTGACCTTGATATTCGAACTTTGCATTGATGAAGCAAGGAGTTCGAGATCAGATGATGTGAGAGGAACACCACCCAGCCAGAGACCATCGAGACGTGAACAACGACCGAGAACAGATGCCAGAGTGAATTTATCACTTGGAGTGAGAGGTATGTAGCTGAATCTAATCTCACGGTGGATGATTCAATGACGTCATCAGTAGCATCCCCACACTCTTCGAGTACATGCATGAGCTCGAGTAGATCTCCCCACTGTGCTGCCTCTGTTCCTTTGAACTTACGTTGAAACCAGCCAGGTCGAATCTTATCTTCTTATCTCTTATTCTTATTCTTATTCTCTTATTCTTATCTCTTATTCTTCAGATCAATACCTTTCAAGCAAAACGTTGCAGTCAGAAAATTATTCATTAAATCATAAAGTTTGGTTTACTTTGGTTCTCTAACAACTCTGCCAATAGAATCAGTGGAGCGCGACTAGTGAAAATAACTAAACCTAACAGGCGAATACCAATCAGGGACAAGCGCTTGATATATATTAATTGGAACATCCTCCCTCACAACCCAAACAGCATTATTGGTCACATTTTAAATATGGCCTTTCTGACCTTTGCAATAAAACATCAGTTTTCTCCCAATTCAATGCTAGTTGGACAAAATTTGGAGTTTGGAATAATTTCAAAAATCTGGATTGCTTGGAGTGTTATTGTGAAAATCGGAACTATACATAATTTTCAATATTTTAAAAAAAAATGTAGGAATTTTATTCACTGAGCGTCTCTACAAGTCCATTAAAAATGGCTTACAAACCGCGATTTTATGTCAAAAGTTTATTTCTCCATCAGCTGATAAAACTGGGAGTAAGAGGTGAAGTTTTTCAAGCCGGAGACGGTTGTCAATAATAAATATCCTATGGCTGCGGTTAAAGCTGTGGTGGGCATGTTTGGAACATGATTTCTGTATCTCAGACTATGTAATGCAAATACAAGTCAGTGATTAAGCCCACGATTAGTGATAAATAACAATGTTTCTTCTTGTTGGTTATTAAGCGAGCTAAAATAAACATATATTGAATCACTCATACGTATGGGAAACGCCCGATAACACACACAAACGATTTCTACTAACGATGAGCTCACCCTGTTTAAGAATTCCAACATCAGCTGCGTCTCCCATTGCAATCTTGGATGTCTCGGGATTCAATATAGAGCCGCATAAGATTCGACGAACTACGACCCAATGCGATAAATGGAGTTCAGTTGAAACAAACTTTTCGAATTCCTTAGTCGGCATTTCAGCAACGTAAAGAGCAGCAAGTGCTTCCTGTTCGACCAAAAGATAGGATAAGAAAAAATACCAGAATGAAAAACGGAATTCGAATATATTCCCAAGATCAAACCAGTTTCGCAGCCACCCGATCATCCTTCCGAGTTATCTTTTATGTTTATTTAACTGCCTCGTTTGTTTCCTCAATGTATATTACTCAACTTTTACTGTTAATATATGAATATTTATATTGCTTTAGTTAAAAACGTACGCGATAACGTTTCAGTATTCGACTGTGCTAAGTTATGTCTTTAATGACGTTGTATTTGTTTTCCGATAATAACGATTCAGCTATTTCAACCCCCATAAAAACAGTTCTTACGCCCGTGATTATGAAAGTTTTTTATGTACACAGACCTTATTCTACATAAGATTCAAAACTGTGATGGGTGAATACCGTCGTCAAAGAAAATTGTCACAGCACTATTACCATGAGGGTATGTCGTTGTATAATTAATTTGGAATTTGTAGCAGATATATCTACAGACGTTTGCTCAAAGCAGGATCACGAGAACTCATTCAGAAATTAAAAAGAATGTTTCCTGAGCAAAGCTACAGGCGACACCAAAGTTGGACAGGATTGCATGAATGAGACTGTTAAAGCGAATTTTCATTTCGAGACGCCGGACAGTGACAAATATCTTGTCAGTTTGTGTACATTGTGCACTACTGTAATAAACTGTTTTCAATAATTACAACGCTGCCAATAGCTTTGAGTGTAATGTGTGTGTAGGTGGATGAAAGTCTGTTCTGGAATAGCTTGAGAGTCATGCTACACTGACGTTATGACATCATCAGCAACCAGGGAAAGTGAAAAAATAAAGTTCTCTCGCTTTCATCAAATTAGAAAGATAAAAAAAATTTCACCCGGTCCCGACAACCCCACCCTCTTGCAATCCCGTTTAGTGAGCCTCGACAGTTTGAGTGATTGATTTAAGCTTTCAACAAATTGACAGAAGAGATTTATTCGTTTGTCGTCGGTGATTCAGTTTATCAACAAGTTTCAAACGAGATGGAGGAGAGAAGGTGCAGGTGTGCCACAGAAGCAGTTTTAATGAGTCTGGTCGATAATAAGTTGTTCAATCCGACCAAATATATATTGGTTTTGATATTAAATCGGAACCGACAAAAATTACACAGGGCTGAGACTACTACTCTTCCTATGAAATTAGAACCAATTGAGAAAACATTATTCTGTACCTTGTATTGGAAATTAAAGATCTGGTGCATGCGAACCTGGTTTGAATTCGAAAGCAAATAAGAAAGTAAGTTAACTAAACTCGAAATTGTAATTTTTTCCATCAAATCATTGAAAATTTTTTTTTAAAGCCGAAACACGTCAAAACCATATGTTACATGAGTTTTTCTACTTCCAAGGTACCACGCCTAAACCCACGCCTTAGATTACGAACCTGAATGACTGGTGGATGAAAAAGAATACAAGTTCTTTTCGAAGAGCCGTTGGTTGATTCCAATTGATCTTGGTATTGGAATCATGATATCTTTCAAGTGATCAATGGTGATTCCTTCCGGTAAATCTGATTCGGCGAAAGTAACTTTCTTGTTCCTCATTCCGTCAAACGACATTTTCTTCAACCTGTTGAAACTTCGTAAATGGATACATCCTCTCTTCCACCTGCTCTCATATGCTCTGATTTCATGGTATTCAGCAGACGAGAAGCAGGATGTCGGTCATTTTTTTGGGATTGAGGTTTTTGTACAGTATCAGCACAGTTACTGTAAGAACGAGAAACATCGGAATAGAGCAAAGAGAGAGTAAGCCGCGTGCTTCTTTCTTGAGACGATTCATGACATATTCGCCATGCTCTCCGCTAAATGCGTAAATGAGCTTTTCCACACTTTCTTCATCGAAACCTGCTAAAGCGATGACTCTCTCAGGGCGGACTTCTCCTTCGAAGAAAACGTAAAACGTGTTCACGTGATGAATAGAGAAGCTTGATGCCGGGTAAAAGCTTTTGAGCGAGGATGAGATTTATAAGGAGCTTGGGATCTGCTTTATCATAGTGATTGCGTTACCCGGCGTAATTTGCCAAGATCTTGAGGGGAAGCGTATTGATCAGCTCCATCAATTACGAGAAGAAACTTTTCGGGATGCAATCATGATCCATCCAACACCATGATCTCGGACATCTTCATCCAAATCTGTATCTCCAAATAATAATTTCCCCGAGACTGACCTCCTTCTTAGATAGAAGATCTCGAAAGTTAATGTGACGAACAACCTCGACTCCTCTAAGCTCTGGTATCTTTTGATCAAGCACATCAACGGAGAAACTTTTAGACATTTCGGTTTTGCCATATCCGGCTCCCCCGACTAGAGCAACTCTCGATTTGCCATCCGAAAAAAAGCTTTCCATGGATATTTCTTTTGCCAGGTTGCTTCTGAGTGTGCTGGCTGAAACCAAGCTCTGGCTTATATTCAGCATCCTTGGCAGCGCTTCCATAGAAATCTACATCCACTGTACGAGGCTGAATGCTTGATTTTCGGAGTTGTAAGACATCCGATAGTTGAAGCTGGCTGTGCATTTTTCCTCGTTAAAATCGTTGATTTCTTTCTTGAATATCTGAACCTTTTCTACAACGTAGATGCAAAAAATAAATTAACGTTCGCGCCTATTCGTATATTGCACACTCATAAAATGAACACTTATGACACTTTTACTACTGTTGCACTATTTTTCAGATCTACCCCCATTATATTGATCGCTAGATGGAGTAGATGAAAAACAAACATCTTTTGAAAATATCGAGAAATATTGCACAAATTTTTTTATTTTTCACAATATATCTTTTGCAATAAAAAATGTTATATTACGGTCTGAAACATTCATTTACTTTAAACGATAAAGATTTCATTTCAATTTTTTCAATATAAAGATATTTGGATTTGAGACTTCTTCCCAATGAATAAATTCAAACAGCAATGGATAGAATGTATATCAGTCTCTTATCATTGAAATATGTTATGCTGGTTCTGCATCATCCTCATGGCTTTGTAGCTCTGTTCCTGTGTTGTATATCAGTTCTCTCCAACCAGACATTCTCCATTTATACAATGGTATATAGAAAACACCAAGAGTTCAATTGAACCAAATTTTTTCCATTACAACATTTAAATTTCTCCAACAACCTGAAAACTCAGTCCAAGATTTTGACAGCATTCAACTTTGACTTTCCTCATTTAGGACTTTCGAGCAAACCATCAGAAACAAATCACACTGATTGAAAGTTAAATTAGATTTTCGGCATTTCCCAAAAAGCCGATGGGAATAAAACCATCAAGCAATGTTGAGAATATGCTTATGAACTCAGTTTATCTTTCTGTGGCAATTTGTGTCCTTTGTAAGTTACTGCAAATTCGTGTCCAAGTTTACAACATATATTCGCTTTATTTTATATATCATGTAATTGTGCAGCGCATTTGTAGTTGTGTCTGTTCTTTCTTCATTCATATACATTATTCTGTTTGAACGTAGCAATCTCAAATTGCATATTTGAGATAATATGGTGCATGTCGATGAACTGTGCGACTTAGGTAAACAAGGTCTTGTGAATATTTTTTTTTTTTTTTTCAATTTAAAGATTCTGACACACATGAGCTGTGAACTGACGTAACGGTAACCTACTACCAACTCTATTGACATGATTAATATCAATTTGGTTTGTGTTTTAGTCAACTTTGGCTTAAAGTCAAGTCATTATAAAACAATTATAAAACATTATAAAACTAATTTCCAAAATTATCTTAGGTGTTTCTCATATCAAGTCGCTTTTCAATGACTGATATTGTTTTAATAAACTGACTCGAGTAATAAATAAAAATAGCATATTCTCTTGCCCCGAAATACGCGAGTATATTTGTGAGCTTGCGTTATATCGTAGTTCAACTTGTTCATGAACTTAAAAATGATTTGACCTAATCAAACAGCAACCTTTAATATTATCTCGCATTCTTGTGACATATATGAATTCAAAGTCCTTTTTTTCTTTTATTAAAGTTATCGCGTGGGAGGCATTCACGGGACGAGTTTTCAAAACTGACCTCTCGCTCGTTTTATAACCTTCCGATGTCGCGAAAGGCTCTATATTATGCAGTTGGATACGAAACTACAAAACGAGGTCGGAGTTGCTTGGCTTTATGGTTACCACGCATCGCCATATTTTATGAGCATTCTTATTTTCTCTGCGTATTAAAATATGTATGTGCTTAGAATATGCGGGATATTTTATCACTTTTTCATTCTTAAAACTTTTAAATTCTTAATAAAAAAACTAATGAACTCTGTGAAGACCCCTATTTTAGACAAATTATTAAACTTGTAACAACTGATTTGCTGCATCAACACTAAATTTTCGAAAATGATATCTTTAAGCAATACAAACATATCAGTCGAGAAAAAATTAACTTTATGTTGACAATGTAACCATAGGCATACTATCGTGTCTCCCTGAAGCTATATGTAAGTTTTGAATTTTGTGTGCGAATATTTGGTGAAAAAATATAAGTAACCCTGTTATAGTGTCTCCCTAAAGATATATATGTAAATCATATATAGTTGTGTGTGAAGATTTAGTGAAAATAGTTGAGTAGCCCTGTTATTGTGTCTCCCTAAAGATATATGCAATTATGAATTTTGTGTGCGAAGCTTTGGTGAAAATAGTTGAGTAGCCCTGTTATTGTGTCTCCCTCCCGTTATAGTGTCTCTTTAACGATATATGTAAATCTTAAATTTTGTGTGCCATCCTTTCATGATATGGTTAATTAGCCCTGTTATCATGTCTCCCTAAAGATATTTGTAAATCTTACATTTCGTGTGCAAACCTTTGGTGAAAATAGTTGAGTAGCCCTGTTATAGTGTCTCCCTAAAGATATATCCTGTCACCCTATAGCAAGCCTCACAATATTTTAACAAATTCTCAATTCAAACATACCATCGTCTTCACCCAAACCTACAGCAGCTTTCATAGCACCCGGTGCACCTTTTCGATTTTGTTGAGCAGAATCTTGATTAACCACAGGACCATAGTAGTTCGCTGTGAAGAAATTGAAATATTTCATGCATTGTACAACCACGATAAATATAGCACGATTAACCAGTTTTATGATTCTATATTTTTGTATTTTAACCTGGAACCTGCTCCAAAAACTAAATTGGCGATTTTTAGTCGTTTTTTGTTACAGGATAAAACATATTTTCTCAATTATTTCTCTAAAGCTGGACTTGAGTATTGAAATTAAAAACCAGGTCTTTATCCTCGACTATCAACTGATTCAATTAGTGCAAGTTTTCGGAGTCATTGTCTAAACCAGGGGTATGTAACATTTATTAGAAGAATAAAACAAATGAAAAATTTTATTCGCAGACCGCAATCAAAATCGGCACAATTTTCTTTGTGGGTCGCAGGTTTCAACCCCCTGGTCTAAACTCATTAATGCAGTTTTCATACGACTTCGAGTCGATGAAATTTATCACCAATTGGACCCTATAATCCTCTGAGTCGGTGGAATTTCTCACCGATTACACCCTGTGATCTTGCAAAGAATTTTTTTATCAGAAATCCCCTCAATTCAGTTTTAATAGAAAAAACAAAACACATACTTATATTTTGAGTCGCAATATGTTGATCCCCAAAGTGAGCTCGATCAAACTTCCCTTTTGGAAATGAAACTGAAAGAAACGGTTGTATAAGTATTGAATTATATGGAATCACTGGCAAAATTTCAAGTTTTTACATTGCTTGTGAGCGCCTATTTAAACATAACTGTTAGATTAGGTTTTTTTGTTTGATGGGAAAATATTTAAGTATTGACGAGGGCCACTCTAAAATGTTATCGAGCCCCGCGGGCCACCTGTTGCACTCCTCCACTCTAGAGTAGGCAATGCCGCTTTTCAATTAAAATGATATCATAAACTTTATTGATTTATTATGCTGTAATAATTGATTTCCAAGTTCCAAACTGCATGGCGAAGATCCAAGGCTTCAAGTACGTCGACTAATGGTCACAGGCGTGCCTAACTTTTGTGTTGCCAGAAACTGGTTTCTGAAGATAGTGCCCTTCATACCTTTACCTTTTCATAACTTTAATTTAGTAGATTATACATGACAATAAATAAATTAAAGGTCATGTAAGAGTGAAAAATTTGTATTATTATTATTTAAATCAGGGGTGTGCAACCATTATTACAGGAGGGCCAAATACAAGTAACCAGGTGAACCCATTATCCAAATCTCTATATAAGATAGCCTTTCTAGTAGATGAATCCACAAAAATTGTTTTTTGTTCTTACAGTATTGTTTGAGAGGGGGTGAGAAATTGTGAGTGAAAACACATAATTTCTTAAGAAAACTACTAGTTGAATATATTAATATGGCAGTGACCCTCTAGTACTGTTTTAGGCTTTTCCATGCAAAGGTATTGGAATTGCTCGCACATACTAGATTAACTAAACTAAAAACTTGTTTCGCAGCCACCCCATGAACAATTGGCACTTCTCCGAGGGCCACACAACTTTTTTGAAAAAATTGTGAAAACTAGGGCTGGGCAAAATATTCGAATAACGAATACCGAATCGAATATTAAATTATTCGAATGGCATTTTACTATTCAAATATCGGGTACCACGTGATCTGCGCCGCTCCACTAGGCCACAGAACGTCTCTGAACCGATCGTTGATTGCACGAGAATTCACTTACAACGCTCGCTAACAGACAAAAGCGACAAATTTGAAAAATCGTCTTTGCGTCGTGGTTTTATTTGTTTTCCTTGCGTTTCAATCGTTCATTTCAATTCCATATTTTGCTAAAAAAGGTACCGACACCGTTCCCTAAATTTAGAAACGTCAAACCAGATGAGGTATTTAAAATAAATATCCCAGATTTTAAACTCCGTATGATTCGCGGCACGTGATTAGCCGTTTCATGCATGAACCAAACATAAATTTGTTTAACGAAAATTAAAAGTTGAAATAACTTTCGCATGAAAGCTATGACCAGAAAAGAAGCTTTAGTGATCCCTTTCATTCTTGAACAAGTAATGTTTCGAAAATGTAAACATTTTACTCCGGCATGCATGGCGTCGTGAAGAGAAGTATAGCGTAAAATCAATCGTTAATTTTGATGTAACAACGCGCACTTTCTCGTTCACGAATTGTTGTACAGTATCATCGGAGATGATTACATTCGTTATATTTTGAGCATTTTTGCACTAATAAGTAGGGCGTGACATTATCAAAATCGTCAAGAGAAGTAAAAGTGATTTTGCAAATTCCGTAAATAAAATTGTGAATTACTTGGTAACAATACTAGCTATAATGATCGCGGGGTTTGTTGACAAAACGTCGGAACTTGAAAGAGTTAGTTATAATTAGCGCCTGGCCATCTATTAGGCATAAAAGTACAAAAGCGCAATTTTTTCAAATTTCAGCATTAGGTCGCATATGTAAATTATTATTCAAGAAGCGCTGTTTATTAACGTCATCTCGTCAGATGGCCACGCAGAAATGCCTTTATTGCTGAATTATTTAATCACTATTTTAAATCAACATTCGGGATTGACGCAATCGCAGCTTTGCGAGGTTTATCTGTAAAGTAACATAGACATCATAGAAAAGCATAGCAAAGTTAATTACAATATTGTCTTTATAAATATCTGCATCCCGATAACGATAATAATATTACCGTTCGCCTAATATTGTGACGGTAAATGTACAACGTTGATAATAATATGAAAGTCAATGCAAATGATAAAAATTAGCAATACTATAATTAATAATATTAATGGTTTTGAAATCAATCCTTAATGGTATTAACAGCTGTTGCCCGACGTGAACACAGGGTAAACCCGAAATATAAACTTCGATGTCCGTCGAACCGAAAGAATTAATACTTGCAAAAAACAGAAAGGGCGGTGATATAGATTATATATCGCCGCAAAAACGGTCACGGTGACAAAAATTAACAAGTTAAAAAACGCTTTGTAGCCAATTTTTCAATGTCTTTATTAATTTCCAAAGTGAGTATCGACCGACGTTCTGGACTTCCTGTTGTGTATAAAAAATGTTCGTTATTCGACTATTCGGTATTCGTTAAAAATATTCGAATTATTCGATTCGAAAAAAATATTCGATTTCGCCCACCCCTAGTGAAAACACATAATTTCTTAAGAAAACTACTAGTTGAATATATTAATATGACAGTGACCCTCGGGTACTGTTTTAGGCTTTTCCATGCAAAGGTATTGGAATTGCTCGCACATACTAGATTTAACTAAACTAAAAACTTGTCTCGCGGCACACCATTAACAGTTGGCACTTCTCCAAGGGCCGCACAATTATTTCTTGAGGGCCGGAGTCTGCACACCCCTGCTTTGAAAAATAAGTCGCGTCACCTGATACAGGCTTTCTTGCTCCTTGAGATCCAAGTACAGCTGAAACTTCGGAACTGATTTGAACTGTAAAAAACAATTCAAAGCGGGCGTTGAGGCGTAGATGGATGGATTGGGACCATATACTCATCCCTACTCCTAACCTGCTGTCTATATGGCAGCCAAATAACCCTCCTATGGAGGAAACCAGGTTTCTAGGATTCTGTTTCCAGGAAGATGAAGCCATAAATTGATGATTCCGGCTTCGAATAAAAAATCTCTGATAATTGTAGCATTTGCAAGCTTTTTTTGCGTTCGTTCAAGTCCATGCATTCAGAACATAATTGGCTAAATAATCTCATACCCGACATGGACTGGTAGGTGGGCTGTGGTTTGTCATATGATTAAGCCGTCGCACATACTTTTCTATCCTTGGATTAATATGTCAATCCTATCCCTATTTACAAAAATACTTGCAGAAATGTTACTCACTAGCTCCACCTGGTGCCAATGCTCCTTCAGACTCATTAGAGTGGAACGGTTGAGCCTTAGATGACGCTTCCCCTTCTTCTACGAATCTTTCAGCTAAAGAATAAAAACAAAGAAGAAATTGAAAGCGTCAGAGGGCGCTAGAGTTGCACAAAATTCGGTATGAGTACCAGGGTAAGGATAGGACATAAGTTTATTCCGATTTTCCTTATTTTTAGTTCTATTATGAGTTCGTGGACTGTCTTTGTTGACCAAGTAAATACCCCACTGCTCATAGGTTTCAGTAGCTTTAGACAACTTGATGTAAAATAGGCGGACAAAATTAGTTACCTCCATATTGGTACACATACTTCTGGATAGCCTACAATTCCACCCACAGAGTCAGAGTACGAGACTTATCTATGTTCCCTAGTTCTAGTCCCTGATCCATCGAGCCTTCAGCCAATTCATGGGATTCTTATACTTGCTGAGCGTTAATCATGATTACTAAATTCTAATTCACGATCCTAATTATTTACATTTTTAGTAGCTTTTGTCACTACAGTGGCTGCCCATAAGAAACAATTATTTTACGAGGGAGGCTAATTAGGTGGCGATGTGGATCATATTGCAAATTTTACACATGTCTTGAAGTGTCTTGTATGGAAATTTAAAGTATAGTGTCGAACAGTGCCAGTAGCTCTTGGCCCTCAGTAGCCGCCCATAACTTCGCTAGGAGCAGAATATCTTTTGCTTCAGAGTGAGGCTAGAACGGCATGACCTTGTTTTGAGCATATTTTCTTACAATGGAAACAAAATTGAGCAGAAATCTCTTTAAACACTCACCAGGTTCCTGCCTTACTGGCCTTGGATCAGCCTGAGATGTTTCAGCATCAGGTCTGAGTGGTTCAGCACCAGATCTGAGTGGTTCAACATCAGGTCTGAGTGGTTCAGCGTCACCCGCTCTCTCCTCATCTACAGGAGGTTCCATTGGACGAGGATGCAGAGGAGACTGATCTGTATGGAGAGTATGAATCAGGATGAGATTTTATTCATATCTTGCAGAGACTCTGTAGCGAGGGCAAAGGCTCTGTAGTAAGATGAGTTTATTCTAGAGACGAAGCAACAGTATCTAGAGACATTTTGGGTCTTTTTAAAGAAGTTTTGATCAAATTGTGTTTTTTCTAGCAGTATTTAGGGGAACTTATAAACGCGAATCAAATTTCATTTCAGGGCAAAGTGCCCGCCTGAATCCTTTGGTTGTTAAAATCACTCGGTTGCTAAACTGCTGTATTGATCCTTTACCAGTGTTCACTATTACCGCATTTTTTTGTGAAAACAGTGGAAAAGCTATTGTTATCTTATGGCATTTTTAGGGGTTCTTGCAGAAATTTCTACATAAAACTGTTATTTAAATTTATTGCCAATATGACAGTCGCCCTTAGGTACTGTTATAGGCTTTGTGATGGACAGGTATTGGAATTGCTCGCACATACTCGATTAACTAAACTAAAAACTTGTTTCGCAGCCACCCCATGAACAATTGGCACTTCTCCGAGGGCCACACAATTTTTTCATGTGGGCCGCATTTGGCCCATGGGCCACAGTTTGCAAACCCATACTTTAAATAATTAGTCACGTCACCTGGTACAGTCTTCCCTGCTCCTTGAGTTCCAAGTACATTGGAAAGGAGCCTTGAACTTCAGAACTGCTTTTGACCTGGAAGATTGAAATAAAATAGGCCGTTGAGGTGGATCGACTGACACAAGGTAACTATATAATAGTAAAAGCAGATTTACTACTGTCCATATTTCAGCCCCAATAACCAAGTTCCTCAACCGTTTGTTGATTTGCAAGTCTAGTCCCAGCTTTCCAAATTATACAATTCCGACTATAAAACTCATTTAAAAACACATCAAATTGTTTCATATTTTTGCTCAAGAAAATAAATTTGTGTCTGATTCAAGTCCATGCATCCTAAACATAACTGGCTAATTAATCCAACACCCGACATGAACTGGCCAGTTGCCTGTGGTTTGCCATATGATTAAGCCGTCGCACATACTTTTCCATCCTTGGATAAATATGTAAATCCTATCCTTATTTACAAAAATACTTGCAGAAAAATGTTACTCACTAGCTCCATCTAGTGCCGATGCTCCTTCAAACTCATCAGAGTGGAACGGCTGAGCCTTAGATGACGCTTCCCCTTCTTCTACGAATCGTTCAGCTGAAGAAACAAATTACAGAAGATCTTGAAATACTTCATACGACAGCCATCTTATCGACTTTCCTCTCCCAAGGTAATCTACCACCAAGTTACGATTCCAACCACAGAGTGCGAAACTTATCTATGTTTCCTAGTTCTAGCCCTTGATCCATCGAGTCCTCAGCCAATCCATGGGATTCTTATACATATTACACAAACGTCAGAGGGCGCACACGAAAATTCAGTACTCTCGTAGTATGTGTACCAGGTTAGGGTTAGGTCATAATTTCATTCCAATTTTCCCTATTTTTGTTTTATTACGAGTTCGGGGACTGTCTGTGTTAGCCAAGTGAATATACCCCTGCTCATAAGTCTCAGTCCTTTTACACAACTCGTCGTAAAATAGGCGAACAAATTTAGATACTTCCATATAGGTACACATACTTCTGGAGCACCTACAATGCCACCCACCGAGTGCGAGACTTAGTAATGTTTCCTAGTTCTAGTTCCTGATCCACTGAGTTTTACCCAATCCATGGAAATCTTGTACTTGGTGAGCGTTAATCGTATTTACTAACTTACAATTCACCATTCTAATTATTAATAACAGTTTTAGTAGCTTTTGGCATCTCAGTGGCTGCCTATAACAAACAATTTTTTTACAGGGGAGGCTTCTCAGATGGCGATGTAAATTCTATAGCCAATACAACTCACTTGGAACGTCTAGCCCAGTGGTTCTCAACAATTTTTCGGTTTGTGGCCCACTCTTGTTGCCCAAAATATTCTGTGACTCATAAACTTTTTCATGCAAAGGAAAAACCACAAAAAAAATTACTTGCTCTTTTTGCAAAGTTCCACTTTAATAATTAAAATAGAGTTACCACTCTGCAGTAAAAACAGCATCATCCATAAATTTCTACTGCTATCCAAGTTTAACTAATTTATCAATTTTTAAGAGTTTTGTGGCCCACCTGAAAATATTTCTGTGGCCCAGAAGTGGGCCATGGCCCTCTGGTTGAGAACCGGTGGTATAGCCAAACCTACGCTTAGCTTGAAGAGTCTTGTATGGAAATTTAAAAATAGTGTCGAACAGTGAAAGTAGCTCTAGGCCCTCTTGGCTGCCCATAATTTTGCTAGGAGAGAATATCTTTTGCTTTGGAGTGAGTGTAGAACAGGGGTGGGGAAGGTTATTGGATCAAGGGCAAAAATATTGCCCACCTAGACTGACGGGCCATGTAAGTGTGACGTAAAACGTAACATTTTATGGATATGGAGTATTACAGAAGCATGAAATTGGAAAACAATTAGTTTCGCGCCAAAACTAAATTTAATCGCAATATCAACAAATTCCTTGAGGTATTTTTACCTAAAACATCAAAATTTGGTTTCAGTTTGGTTGTGGTAGCGTCAGGCGGGCCAGATTGATTTACCCAACGGGCCGTAGTTCGCCCATCTCTGGTCTAGAACGACATGACCTAGTTTTGAGCATATTTTCTTACAATGGAAACAAAATTGAGCAGAAATCTCTTTAAACACTCACCAGGTTCCTGCCTTACTGGTCTTGGATCAGCCTGAGATGGTTCAGCATCAGGTCTGAGTGGTTCAGCGTCACCCGCTCTCTCCTCAGCTACAGGAAGTTCCATTGGACGAGGATGCAGTGGAGGCTGATCTGTATGGAAAGTGGAAATCAGGATGACGAAGTGCCCGCCTGAAACCTTTGGTTGTTAAAATCACTCATTAACAAGGATTGATATATTTCTGTATTGACTGTCTAGCAGTGTTCACTATTAGAGCACTTTTTCACGAAAACAGTTGAAACCATTTTTAATGAGTACAATCCTTGTTCGAATATTTAAAATTGTTTAATCAAAAACTATGGCACCTAATTTTTGCACTCTTTGTTTCAATTGCGAAACACCTTCGCAGTCATAATTTCACTAGAGTGAGCACTGCAGGTATTTCTGTTAAGAGTTTTGTCTAAATCAGTAATTTAATGTCTGGTGTTAAAATCTGTCTGTCAGATTTAAAAATTCCATGAAATTGGAAAAATTATCTGGTCAGCTATGTTAATACTCAATCTCGGCTGTAACTGGACAAGTGAGAGCAGTGAGGTTTACTACTGCATTGATTATAAGTCTTCTACCTTGCTAGAATGAAGTTTCTTTCACAAGTGCGACTTGAGCTGAGCCATCAACCCCAGATAACTTGTAAATCTGGCATCCACAATCAGGTTGCCATAACAACAGATGTCAGTGGAACTCTATTCGAGTAACAATTTACCTGGGTGAGATTCTCCTCTTTCATCCAGGAAAGCATTTACTAGTTGCCAGATTTTTTCAGTTGTTGCTGAATCTCCTGTGTTATTAAAATAGAAAATGATGAATCTGCTATTATGAATGAATCTGCTATTAAACTTTTGGCGCTCCAGAAGTAGTGTGTACCGATATGGCGGTAACTAATTTTGTTTGCCTACTTTGCATCAAGTTGTGTCATCAAAAGGGACTGAAACCTATAGCCAGACAAATATTTAAACAAGAATGCAAGGGCGTGTCAAACTTCTCTGCTGCCCAGGACGAGTAATTCTGTGGCCAATAACGAATAATTAACTATTTCGAATATATTCGAAATTATTATTTTCAAATTTGAAATTTCGAATACTTTGAAAATAAATCCAAATAAAATAAGCTTATCTGTAGTGTGTACCAATATGGCGGTAACTAATTTTGTTCGCCTACTTTGCATCAAGTTGTGTCATCAAAAGGGACTGAAACCTATAGCCAGACAAATATTTAAACAAGAATGCATTGGCGTGTCAAACTTTTCTGCTGCCCAGGACGAGTAATTCTGCTGGTCAATAACGAATAATTCACTATTTCGAATACATTCGAAATTATTATTTTCAAATATGAAATTTCGAATACTTTGAAAATAAATTCAAATAAAAAAAGCTTATCTTCGTGTATGTCGGAATTTGCATACAATAAAGAATGGGATAACTGTTACCTACAAGCTGGCTACCAGAAAATTTATATTTTTAAATATAATTGATATTTTAATATCAATATTGGATTATAAGTGATATTTTAAGTTTTATGCCTTTTTTTAAGTACGAGAGTGCGAATCAAAATTAATTATAAAATGACAGTTAACCATACATTTTATGTCCACAGATTGCCGCCGTATCTTGGAGTAGTTATGCATCAATTTATTAATAAAGTTTACGTAACTATGAGTTACGTTAAACACAGTTAAATTATTACAAAAAGTCATTTTAAATGCTCTTATTGTTTACGAATTAATTTTCCTTGAGGGCCGCATTTGGCCCCCGAACAACAGGTTAGACACCCCTGATTTAAATTATCAAACTAAGCAACAAACTAATCTCTATGAAAAGCGATTAATACACCACCATAAAATTTCTATGTCAGTTTTCTTAAGTCGAACAATAAGACACAACAAATATCAAAGCTTTACCAGTTTTCAATTTCCACAAAACGAGCAAATCCAGATTCCTCTCTTCCACATTTTTTGCATTTTCTTTTATGTTTCCAACCTCGTGCATACTGAGCAATAAACCTTTCCCAGACAATGCGAATCTTTGGAACAGTGCAGCGTTGTCGAAGACTTTAGGAACTGCTAGGAAAGCATCCTCGATTCTTGAACCTGATAAGAAACTGAATCAATTACATTTGCATATGGAGCTAATTATTTGAGTGACACAGCGGTTAAATGCTATAGGTCAATGTTTTATTGAGTGTTGTTGGAAAAACCCAGCATTTTGAGGTTGAAACAAAAAAAAAATAACCTTCGAAAGTTTTCATATTTCCTGAAGAGGAAAACCAATAAAACAAATTATATCTAGCATATATTCAGTACAAACAAGAATTTTGAAGAAAGCAATACCAGAGCAGACATGGAGACTCAATGATAAAAAAAACAAATGGCACATACGATATGAGCATACATGAAATATAATGTCAATCTAAAGAAGAGGGCGACGCCCAAATATGCGGACATGAAGGCCGAAACATAGTAGTATGGGTATGAAGTGTGCGATGACCACTTCGCACACAGAAAAACCAATCCCTTTAGCTCCAATAACTTATTTCAAATGAATCAAGTTATGGCAATACTCCAATCGCAAAAAATAAAATCTTTAACCGCTGAAAATTTCATAACAATTGGACATTCGTTATTAGTTTTTTATTTGTAGAGAAAGAAGAAGAATGAGAAAAAGAATTTCTACAACAACTACATAATAACAAAACTCGTGTCCAATAATGAATAAAAAGTGTCGATTTAACAACATTCCTGTTGTTCTGCGGAGTGAGCCAAACCTGATAAAATGCTGAAGTGCCGCTTGCACATTTTCTATAGGATGATACTAAGTAATGACCTCCCCCCCCCCATAACTTACCAGTGACACAACCTCTCTCTTGCCTGAAATATTGCTTGATAATCTCTGCTATATGAGTCGGTGATGCCCTCGTTCCTGTAACACAAAGAAGTTGGAAGTTTTTGGAAGGTGCTTAGTCTCTAGTTATAGTTATAGCCTCTATAAAAAGGAAAGATATTTTGTGATTAAAAAAAACTATTTTTTTAAAAGAGACAACTTCCTTGGGTGTTTAAAAACAATTTTGTTGAATGAGAACCAACCATTTTTTTCTTTCCAAAGATCAAGCATTCCAAACTTTTTATCTTCAACAGAATCAGGATTGTCTGCAATGATTGTTGAAACTTCTCCAGCACTGAGCCCGAGACCATTTCCAGATAAGGCAAACATTTTGAAATGAATGAACGACGTGAATTTTCTTGCAATGTCAGCGAAAACATCTTCAATTCTGATGTCGCCTAGAACAATGAATTTGAATTGAAAATGGGGAGAAAGATATTCAAGTAATAACATCAAGGTCAGTGGTGGCTCATGAGTTAAAAATATGATTGCCACTGCACCCTGCATGGGTTCGCTGGTTCGAATCCTGTGGGGAATAATTATGTACGAGAAGACCACCAGACTCCTCACCACCGCAGGGTGATTCCCGCATCTCTGGTTGGTTACGGCTTCCTCCCACATCAAGTCCAAGCATCTGATTATAATTGATAGTGGTTGAATTTATTAATTTACACCAATAATTACTTTGCAGACGCATAGATTACATTGGCATCACGCTGGCCCCGCATCTGATTAAGAACTGGTATGTTTCAGTACACTCGGCACTGTCACATTACCAATTATTCAATATACTCCTGTAGTGTTTGTACCAGATTAGGGTTAGGCCATAATTGTATTACGACTTTACTTGTTTTAGTTCTATTTCGAGTTCGAGGACTGTCTGTGTTAGCTAAGTGAATATATCCTCTGCACATAGGTTTAAATTAGTTACCTCCATATTGGCACACACACTTATGCAGTGCCTTATTTAATGCTGTTTCATATATATTTTCTGCATCTCACCAGTTTACTATTAAACTTCACTATTACAGTTCAATTAAAAAAAACTACTGTTAGGTAACATTTCCAATAATTCACTAAAATTGTTACTCACTAGCTCCACCTGGTGCCGATGCTCCTTCATACTCATCAGAGTGGAATGCTTGAGCCTCAGATGATGCTTCCCCTTCTTCAACGAATCGTTCAGCTGAATTAAACAAAAAAATTAAAGCACGCCTCGGAGGTAATTCTAGATATTAAATGAGAAAAGTGGTTACTTTTAAATTGTCCACGTTGTACATTTTTTACGCCAATTCGAATGTTCAATTTCATACATTTAATAATGGGTTGGCCAGAGTCCAAGTTTGGTATTTTTTTATAATATGACATCAGTTCCCTGTTTATGGTGTCGTATATATATATATATATATGCCATCATATGGCTCTATGCCAGGGGTTCCCAAGCTTTTTTCAGGACGACCCCAAAGACAACATTCAAGTGTCCAGTGCGACCCCAGGTCAAAATATATATTTTTCATTAAACTTCAGAGCTTCTTTCACTGGACTTTTGGTTTGGTCATGTGGTGGCATTAAGTAAAATGAGCTAAAACCGAACAGTGATGTCACAATAAGCATCTACATTTTCTATAGCTTAAGCATGTTTTGTACATCCATCCCCCTACCTTACCTCAGCGACCCCATGACCTGTTCCACGACCCTACCTACTTATCACTCCGACCCAATTTGGGGTCGCGATCCCTAGTTTGGGAACCCCTGCTCTATGTCATTGTCGTGGCCGGTCATATTTTGATTCGTTAATACATCATGTTGTTTTTTAATCTTAATCCTTCTAAATTATGACATGACATTACATATTCCCCCACCCCCCACCCAACTACTACTGCACCCCATATATTGAATACTTACCCATAATGAAGGACGATTCTCATTCACGAAGTCGCTAAAGCTTTGTAGAATATTTAATTATAGGCTACACAAAAAAAATAGTTGATTAGAAATTGGCCATGACACGATGATGCCTTAGAAAAGGATGTTTTCGCGAGTACTGATTTTCTTGTTTATTTCCGTAACAATACCCAATCAAGAATAAGTAAACAATTGCGTAAAAATAGAAATTTATGCCGTCGCTCGAACACCTCTCTCACTCAGACAGATATTTAAGCGGGGTAGTAAACATTGCCTTTTTTTGGTAGTTTTGCGTGTTATTCGTCAGTTTTTAGTTGTGTTTATAAAAAATGGTTGTAAATCAAAGAACTCAATCGACATTGTCTTCTGAAGACCTTTAGTTTGCTTCCAATAATAAAAAATTGATACCGCACTTACTCTGCGATAGATCAGCCTAAAATTAACTATCAGTACATAATTGCGACATGATTTATTGTTTTAAATAAAAATGATAGTTTTGAACGAGTGAGCCAGTTTGTGAGCGCCAACTTCCTAATCCCAGAGCCTAATCATATAATGTTAACAGGATCCTATAACAGTCCTATGCTCATGATCCTTGATATTGCAGTATTGGTCTCTCACCAAGTACAATTTTATAGCTATATCTGTATATTCTATATATTTATAGAATGAATATTAAAGCTAGCTCATTTCCAATTATGAATTTTCGTCATTTATGTATAGCACTAGGGTCTCGTGTAGTTTCGTACCTAACGTACTTCTAGTGGGCATAGCATAACAATTTTTCGATATGTTAATTCTAACCCCCATCTGAATACGCCATCCAAAAATTACGTAACTACGACATCACAATCACGTCATAGAGCTTGCTAAATATACGTACAATCGCCTGAAATGGCATTGGCCCCGATGATAAAGAACTGATTGACATTATCGATCTCTCTCCTATTGGTATTGTTGCGCCGAGAAAAATAACTGTTCGATTTCGGGTGCTCATTTGCGCGTCTTGGATGGCAGTTCGTATAGTTTGAAGGGCTCTATTACGTCACTGTGAGGTCGTGTTGACGTAATTTTTGGATGATGTAGTCAGGTGGGGGTTAGGATTGATACAAAAATTGTCATGCTACGCACACCAGAGGTATGTTAGGTACGAAACTACATGCGACCCTAGCACTGTTGGTACTCAATGGTTATTTCATCCATTCGTTCAATGACATATTGCTGTATTGAGACATTTTATTATCTATAATACCATAAAAGCGCCCGACTTTCGGACAAAATGACCTTACTTTCATCAATAACTCGGCCATTTATTGTCCAAACATCGCCAATATTGCCCTCTGCCTAACTTCAGACATTCATTTTACCCACTGTGTAACTGCGACGTACAAAGAAAAAGAGATTTTCCGATGCGCATGATATAATCCCATCGTTGCGTGAAGACCCGGCGCTCGATCAGCGTCGTAACGTAACATCTCAACGTCACAGGTAAAATGCATTATTTAAACTTCCATCGTGCTATGTTTACATTCGCTTCCATTTCTTTGTTATTTTCGTAACGTCAGATCAGCCCTGTACGCCGTTAGTCATTTTAATCAGAAAATAACGTAGGCCTATGCAAATTAATCTGATGAAAACCATTCTAATCTACAATGAAATATTTCATAGGGCTTGTAAGTCTTTAATATTTTTGCCGGATAGCGTTTTTGATGTTACGCTGATATCTTTATAAGTGATAAATTTATATCAAACACAGCGAACCCAATTGTAAAATTTAATAATCTTCAATTTAATCTTGTTAATTAACATTGGGATTGGCCTCGTGATTTTTGTGAGAAGTATAAATTAATTTTTATCCCGAGTGAATAATACTCACCCAGGCTTTATTCAATTTGACTTGCAATGCATGACTAAGTAAGACATGTATTGTAATTTTGGCAGATAATCACACATGGACCGAACAAAATACAGAAATATTACACTGGAACGTCGTTTTGATCTGAACAGAAATTGTCAATTTGGCACCGTTGTGTCGGGCGTCAAAGTTCCTGTCACGCTTCAGAAGTGAGCGAAAATGGTCTATGTGACGTTGACTTAACTTTTGACGCAGCGTGAAATCTCAATATTTCAACGAAATTTATAATTCAGAATTTTATGTCTTATTTAAATCTCATACGACATCTTGCGATCACTCTGATAAATTATATACATTGTTGTCGCCCTCTACCAGATGATGGTATTTGACAAGGATAGCTTAAGTAGAAGCGACGCTCTGCGCCGTTGAATAGCCGCCAGTCATTTTTCGACAAAATTTCCGTTTTTTAACAAAAAATTGATTATGCAACAATAAAAAGCTGAGCATAGATGAACACATAACAGCGCTAGATATGAAAATTGAAATTTGCAATATACGACGCTTTTTAGTCAAGGTATGGCGGTTTAAAATTTTTGTCCGAAGTTAGGAACTGTCCGAAGTCAGGCGCTGTTACGGTACCGGTACCAATGATTCCAAGCGGCAAGGTACCGGTAGTCTACAAATGTTGGCCAATTTACAATGCTATTCGGGTCTAGTATAGTTTAGTACCACAAGCACTTCCAGTGGGCGCAGCAAGACGAATTTTGCATATGTTATTCCCAACCCCCACCTGACTATGCCATCCAAAAATTACGTCACTACGGCGTCACCATCACGTCATATGGCCTGAAAAAGTATAATTACGATCGCCCGAAATGGCATCTGCGCCGCCGATAACGAATTCGATAAAGCCGACGATCTCTCTCCTATCGTGATCGTTGTGACGAGAAAACGATAGAAATAGCTTGCTCGATTTTGGGTGATCGTCCTTGCGTTTTGGATGATCATCCGCATACTTTGTTGGGCCTTATTACGCCACTGTAACGTCAAAATGATGTAATATTTGGTGACGTAGTCAGGTGGGTGTTAGGATTGACATATACGAAAATTGTTGAGCCAGGCCAACTAGAAGTGCATGTGGTACTAAACCTGTAAACTATACCAGACCCTGCTATTCAATGTTACCACCATTTACTTTGTTGAGTTAGCTTGCTTTCCTCGGATCAGAATAATTTTTTATCTGTTACCGGTACCAGTATGTATTCAAGTACCGGTATTTCTGATTTTATGGCGATTCCGTCACCGACTGACCGAAGCATATTACTGTATTACAGCCTTACCGGTACCCCAAAACTTGCAGTTGTCTCCATGCAATCTTATTGGAACACTGGTTATCATTTTTGACTGTGAATATGCCGTCTCATCGGCGTAATTCTCATCTCAGGCTATATTTAATATTCTGTTTAAATAACTAATAGTTCCATAGTGCACTAACGCTGTGATTTTATTATTCTGTTTTCGCACTACATTCCTGCTGTTGTTTCCATGGTTACTCGCACACATGTGCTTGGAGTATTTTTTGTTTCATTTCGTTTATCGGGCGTCGCCTGGATATTCAGGTCGTCTCGAGTTATATTTCTTCTTATATTATTTAAATCTTTGTTTGACTTTTTCATTGTATTTTAATTACTGTTAGATTTCATCACAGGTGTCGCTACTCGGTAACCAGTATAGGTTTCTCGCGACTCCTTTCACCCCGAATTACCGTTTTTGCTTCTTTTTACATTCTGTATTCATTTCGTGTATTTCATGTATGATAAAAAAATAAGGATAGGATAAGATGGGATTTACATATTTATCCATGTGAGAGGAAAGCCGATAAGACGGCTTAATCATATGGCGAACCACGGCTCTCGTCCGGTTACGTACCAGTCCAGGTCGGGTATGGATTAGTTAGCCAGTTATTTGTTTTCGGAAGCATGGATTACTGCGATATACCAGCCTAAAATTAGCTATAAGTACATATAAGCGAGACGTGATTTATTGTTTCAAATAAAAATGATAGTTTTAAACAAGTTAGACAAGACAGTGCATCTCCCCTAAACATTCTCAAAATCAGCGTTGAAAATTTTTTAATGATGAAGTATGAGGAGAATCTTTCAGGGGTCGGTGAAACGTCCGTTGATGAAAAATCAAAAGCAATCAAAAATATAACAGCTTGTAAAAGTTTTTGAACGAGATTCTTGTCTTCGAACATGTTTGTTTTATTTATTTTCTCTGAACATATAGGCTATAGAACAGGGGTGTGCAATTTTCACCGGTAAGACATGTTACTAACTTCAAACATCTAGCTTAGCGTTACCATATCCGGAAAGACAAAATTTTAATAAGCCACCTTGACCAATTTTGCAACCAAACAACGTATATTATGGTATAAATTCGCGATTTCTCCAACGGCACAAGCTGTCGTCGCTTTTTCGTGAAAATCGGAAAAATATAGAAAAAAACGAAAGGAGCAAAATTGTTGCTTAGTCTTGAACTGAATCCCAGCACAAAGTGAATTACTTGTATGGGTAGTGCAACCAAAACACAGAATACAAAATGCTGGCAATTCAAGTCATATGCGACATCACAATTATCTGAATGCAACGCAATTCATGTTGCACAAAAATGCTTGCTTGCATCTTTGATAAAAATAGGACTTCGTGTATGCGCAATAACTGAAAACTTTTTATGGAATAACGTTTATAAAGTGACTAAAATAGAGTTGGTTAACAGGTTGACCACAGGGTGAGTATCAACGAAAACAATGTCATATAACCCCGATTGTTGCATTGTACCTCCTACTATTATGTAAACGTTGGCCCAGTTTATGCAAAGAGCCGCATTATAAACAAGAATTATTTACTTCATTCAGCTCTTCTGGAATGCTAGTTCGTTTTAAATGTCACTAATCAAAATGGTTATACAGAAATTCAAAAGCCATTTAATGTTATACATGCCACTTAATGGAATTCCCTGTATTGAACAATTCTCTTTAAATTTGGCATATATGTCCTTGTATCCACCCAAAACAGTTTGTTTGACATTGGGCTATGTTTCATGCTTCTCCAGAACTCAATGGTCCTTTCCCTTAAAGCGCATTTCGGTTGGTTTTCCTCATAAAGATCGATCATCTTTACCCCAGTTGCAGCCTCATCTGAGACTGGAGGGAATTTTGAACAATCTGCTTCAGAAATAAACGAGTGGTCGACGACATATTCTGACACATTTTATCAGCACTTCAACCAAATGGTAAACTGTGCATTTGCCACTGAACTTGGTTTTCTAAACAATTATGACAACCGTTGTGGTCAGTATGTTTCCCAGCTTTTTATTTTAGGGGAGGGGGGGGGGGTAACTTATAAAAATGTGTTATGTATTTGACTGATCATCGTGACTGGTAGATGATTGCATGGTAAAGTTAATGAAGGCGTATCTTCAACGAAAAGAAGAATGCACGATAAATCATAATACGTTTAATCAAAACATGATGAATCGTAGTTTGGGTTGGCCATCCCTAACCTAGCTGTTGTAAATAAACTGTTTTTCATTCATAGTTTTTCATATTGAGTTCTGAGAGTTCCCAGTAACCAAGTCTATTATCTTAACTGGTCACACTGAGAAAAATAATTGCCCCTGGTCTAGCCTTAGAATCATCATACACCACCATGCCCTCATCTCACTATGGGGGCTCACAAAGCAAAACATGTTATCATACGCTCCGAGACCCAACAACACAGAGATATTTGGACTATGAAATACACTTTTTATACTTGAAATTCTATTTCTAATTTCAGAAATAATTTAAAAAAAATTGTCTGAAGAGGGTACATAGAATATGTCACAGCTTATAAATTGAAGGCGGTTTCTCTGCAAAGTATTCTGCAATGCAAGATCTATGCAATGTGAATACACTCTGTGTGTTGTTGGTTGAACATGGAGAAATTTAGAAAACAAGTAAAACTGCAGATTATTTCAAAATCCATAAACAACAATAATTATTTAAATGTTATTATTTAAATGTGCACACAATAAAGATTAAACGTAATAAAGATAAAATTAAAATCGGTACTCCCGAAGTATGTGAACCAAGATGGCGGACACCGGAACATGGTATGTGTACCAGGTTAGGATTAAGCCATAATATTATTCCAATTTTCTACTTATTTTAATTATATTACGAGTTCGGGGACTAGCCAAGTGACTCCCGTATTATTTGTACCTGAAATTATGGCCTAACCCTAACCTGGTACACATACTACTTTCCGGTGTCCACCATCTTGGTTCGCATACTTCGGGAGTACCAAAAATTTTATATCAGATACTGTACATTTGAGCAAATTATGTGGAATTCGTATTCTGTGTGCGATCCCATCATGGCGGTTCTGCTCTCACGATAGTCGTGAAGATTGTGTACCGATTGTCTACTGCAGCGTTTCCCAAACTTTTTTGACCACGGAACACTTGCACTTTTTATCTCGCGTCGCGGAACACCGAACGATGAAAGGGTAAAATTGTTAAAGAAAAACGGTGTACAATGTGGGGGTTCCCCATGGGTTCGTCGTGGCGAGTTGCCAATTGCGCCGCGAAAACTAACTGAATTGTGTTACCTAAAATAGGATTGAATATATTACATGTTGCAATAATTATAAATGTTTTACCGTTGCCTAATTTAAATGCTGTGTATAGGAATCATAAATTCATTTTATCTTTCTATGTCGTTTACTTTCCATTCCGCAGTGTTTATTGCCTCTAATGTCACGTCTAATGGAGATAGAAGTACTTGCCGCAATTTCGCAGACATGCAGTGTATTTATCTGCTGAACCATGTACAGCGAACATGAGTATTTTTTTCAGCAACGTTAAAGTAAAACCAGGCGGAGGTGGAGGAAGAAGAGTAGACCATTATTATTTAGACTAACTTGTTAGCCTATAGCAACAAGGATTGCTGTAAACTTGATAATGAACTTAACAGTCAAAAAGCAAAGTCGATGGTTAACGAAAATGCCACTACCCTACCCAAGATAGTCCGCTTTAGGCCGACGTTGAAGCGATATCGAACTGTCAGATGGGTGACAATTTCACGATCCTCAAATCGCCGTGGCGACCAATTTAGACGTAATTGATTTCTTTTCCACGGAACACTCGGAAGACACTCGCGGAACACAGTTTGGGAAACGCTGGTCCACTGTGACAGATCGCATACACGTACTACTTTGTTTTGGCCTTCGTGTCCGTATTTGAGCATCGCTCATTTGAATGGTCAAGAGGAAACCGAGATGCTTGCTTTGTTTGGGTGACGTTGTCTCACTCAATGGCACACTCAGGTGTTCGAGCACCAAATTTCAGTTCGAGTACCGCAGCATTTTCAACTAGAATATTTTTGGTCAACTACCGAATTGTTATTTTCCCAGTAATAGATGTTAAATTTAGACATTTTTGACATCTATGTGTTTTCTGTTAAATATGAATTCAAAAAGTTCGATATTATTTTTCCGAACTTGTTCAAGATTTAATTAATCCTGTTCCCTGAATTCAGTCGTAGTCCATATTCTTAGGTGCCGAATATTTTGAAGTCTTATGGTCGTTCAAATCATAACTGTCATGCCCTTCCTTGAAACACCGGAGGCAGTAAAGATCCCCTTCGCAACCGTGACATCTCAGTGATGCGTCCTCGTTACAAATAATACACCATGGCAGATCACTGGATTCCTTTTCAGAAGGTTTGAAACCTGTATCGAAAGAGAAATGTTGGAAAAGTGGAAATTTGACAAATGTTAAGTTTACAGGATTGGTTTTCTGGTTAACATGGCATTCAAATCCTGTAGTCCATATTAATATATCTCTTACGTCTGCCACTATTATTAAGCTTGCTAATAAGCATTTTGTTTTTCTAGTTTTAAGTTTTTGCTTATATATATATAACAATGGCATGACGTTGTGGCTCATCGTTCTAAGCGTTAGGGATTCGCTTGCCACCGCACCTCTGATTACTCTGCGTGGGTTCGCAGGTTCGAATCCTATGCTGGGATGATAATGTGCGAGAGGATTGCTAGACTCCTCGCCATCGTAAGGTGTTACCACGTAATCGCTGGTCGGTTACAGCTTCCTCCACCATCAAGTCCATGCATCTGAAAACAAATAACTAATCGGCTTTCCTCAACCCCTGGATAAATACCTGATTCCTATCCTATCACATATGTCTACTATCATAACTCACCTTTATCCGCCACATTCATGTCATACTGCTCTGTGCTGCCACCTAGTCTATTAGCAAGCGAAACTTCTAATCCCGCTTCTGCCGTCAGTCGCTTAATTAATTCCAATTCCTCTTCGTCCGAAAGGTCATCCAAGTTCGTACGAGGTTTCGATATCGGCGCACATAAATCTAAAAAATTTGCAAAGTTAGTGAGTAAACACAAACAGGGAAATCCCCCTCCCAGAATCATTTCTTGGAGCTTTGGTTCACTCACCGATCTGAGGTGACATTCCTTGCAATGTTTTCAGTCTTCCCTCCATATTTTCATCGATTTCTCCCATTTTTTTCTGTCTTCTCAGTTCTTCTTGTGCAAGGAGAATCATTGAATCGGCAGTCACAGCTGAAAATAAGTGAAACCTTTGTAATAGTAATTCCTAATGAAGAGGAAAAGTTCATAAGATGGTTCGCGCTGAGCAGTGTTGAGTTGATTCCATAAAGGTAATTGTGTTGCAGGGGCGTGTCCAGAGGCGGGTCACAGGGGTAGTCGCCTTGGGCAACACTCTATAAAGGTGAGATTTGTTATTGATTTAAATCAGGGGTGTGCAACCTTTAATATTACATGAGGGCCTGATACAAATGACTGAGTGAAACCACGGACCGCACCTTCACTTAACATAGGCTAGCTAGAGTTGAAGACACAAAAACTTTGAATATTGATCCCAAAACGTGCGTTGTTTGCTTTGCACAATCTCAGATATAGATAGCCATTGCAATGCAAAGGAATTGGAATTATTCTTCATACTAGATTAAATTAGAAACTCGTTTTGCATGCCTCACACCATTCAAATATGGCGCTTCTTCACAGCCCGCACAAGTTTTCTTTGTGGGCTGCAACCTCCACATTATTTTTGGGGAATCAATATCGAAAAATTTTCCCCTGACAAAGACGAGATTTCATTGGACACAAAGTGAATCAATGGATTGTTACTTATCGATCTTTAGATCGGTAAGTATGTTGATAGGTATTTGTCTGTCTGTTTGTCTGTTATATGCACGCGATATCTCACGAACGCGTGGTTAAATCTGCTCCAAATTTTGCATGTGCATTCATCATATCTCGGACCAGAAGCCTATTGATTTTGGATGAATTATGTCGTATAATTAGCGAGTTATTAATTAATTAGTGATAAGACACAAGATGTCACTATGGAGTAAGAGCGCTGTTTTGGGGAATCCCCTAACTTTCGACCAATAAGTCTTCGGTCTCTGACCGATATTCTCGTTTTATTGTATTGTTTCCTTCAACTACAGGACCGATTGCTTCAGAATTTTCAGTATTTAAAGCTTGTTGTTGTTAGCGAGGTGGTGTGGCTCATCGTTCTGAGCGTTAGAAACACGCTTGCCACTGCATCTCTGATTACGCTGCAAGGGTTCGCAGGTTCAAATCCCTTGCGGAGGATGGTTATATGCGAGATGATTGCTGGACTCCTTGCCACCGTAGGGTGGTTCACATAACTGCTGGTCGGTTACGGCTTCCTCCACCATCAAGTCCATGCATCTGAAAACAACTAACCAACTAATCCCATACCCGACATGGACTGATAACAAGACACGAGGCTGTAGTTCACCCTATGGTTAAGCCAAGCCGTCTTATCGGCTTTCCTCTTCCTTGGGATGAATGTGCAAATCCTACCCTTCTAGAGGGCTATTATTTTTATTTATTCCAAAAACATCTGTGGTCTCCATTTTCACTTCGGAATTTGTCATCAAAATTTAAAATTACATGCCATGGTTTTGTGATTATATACGTGATCTGGTGGCCAGACTACCGGTACTGTGAAAGATTTGATATTGCATCATTTTGGGCTTCGTATCCATATATTTGAGCATTGCTTCCTTGTTTAATCTATAGAGCAGGGGTTCCCAAACCAGGGGTCGCGACCCCAAATTTGGTTGGAGTGATAAGTAGGTAGGGTCGCAAACACGTAATGGGGTCGCTGAGGTATGGTAGAGGATGGATGTACAAAACATCTAAGATTTGACAAACCTGGTTAAATTTAGCAGTTTGTACCATGGCTTACTGTAAAACAGGCCCATAGGCATCGCTCTATGCTTATGCTATAGAAAATGTAGGTGCTTATTGTGACATCACTGTTTGGTTTTAGATTGTTTTGCTTAATACCACCACAAGACCAAACTCAAAAGTCCATTGAAAGAAGCTCTGAAATTCCATGAAAATATATATATATATCGACCTGGGGTCGCACTGGAAACTTGAAAGTTGTCTTTGGGGTCGTCCTGAAAAAAGCTTGGGAACCCCTGCTATTGAGTATAACTCACTTAATTCAGTGATTACGTACCCTCTGGAACTTGTGTGGGATCGAACGTATCATCAGAGTTCGGGAAGGGGTCATAGTTCGTCTCCATAGCAACCTCCTCTGTGTATTGTCTTATCAATTTCTTCATTTGGTGATCAGGAGTTTCAGCTGAAGAAGTGGAAGGAGTCTGGAAAGTAAATACATGTGATGAAAGGAGTCTAAAAAATGAATGAATGTGGTGGCAGGAGTCTAAAAAACAAATGTATGTGGTGAAAGGAGTCTGAAAAAATGGATGCACGCTGTTGGAGGGGTCTGAAAAAAATGCATGTTGTGGAAGGAGTCTAAAAATAAATGCATGTGGTGGAAGGAGTCTAAAAATGAAATGCATGCTGTGAAAGGAGTCTAAAAATAATTGTATGTGGTGGAGGGAGTCTAAAAAATAAATGCAGGTGATGAACGGAGTCTCAAAAATAAAAGTCTATGGTGAGAGGAGTCTAAAAAATGCATGTGTTGGAAGGATTCTTAAAAATAAATGAATGTGGTGGAAGGAGTCTAAAAAATAAGCGCATGTGGTGGCAGGAGTAGTCTCGCAGTAACCAAATCATTGGCGCAAATTCATTCTGATATTCTGTGAAATATACATATTATGTTTGAGAACTACAAGCAGTAACGGGGTTGCACGATACCTGGACATTCATTATCAAATTGTACCAAGTGAATCTTAATTTGGAACATTAATATATATTGATAAAATTTCATGCAATTAAAATAAAATACTGTCAAAATCTTGACATTTCACTACCGCTAGAAATGTCTGTTTTGCATTAAATTAAATTCAGTCCTGACTGACTCAGTGATATAGTGTGTGCCAGTATGCAGTAATTCAGTTTAGTATAAGTCAGGTCTACTCAACTATTTTTACCGAAGATCCGCATACAAAACTTAATTATTGGGGTCTGGTGTTTCCAGAAACTATATTTCGGCATCCTTAAACACGCACTTCCTCGACCGGCTTATGATTGTTAGCTTATCAAGATTGTTTATTATGGTTTTATACTCTTTTTCATATATATTCAAAGCAATAAAAGTCATTTTATAAAATGAAACTTTAAAAGTGGAGGTAATAATCCAAAATAAAAAATTATTTGCTGTCCGAATCGAATACGAAATGTCAGAGTTGGACCGTGGTCTGCCAGTTGAATAGCCATGATATAAGTTATTGATTTAAACTTCCGAAGTTTTGTGTTTACCTAATTTTTTTCACTTCAGTTTTGATAATATCGTTTCCTCACCAATGGGTAACAAAATCGGTACTCCCGAAGTATGCATACTAATATGTCGGACACCGGGACGTAGTAGGTGTACCAGGTTAGGGTTAGGCCATAATTTTAAGTACAAATACTACGGGAGTCACTTGGCTAGTCCCTGAACTCGTTATAGAACTAAAATAGGGAAAATTGGAATGAAATTATGGCCTAACCCCAACCTGGTTCCGGTTTCTTCCATCTTGGTACGCATATTTCAGGAGTACCGAAAAAAACATTCAATAAAATATAAACCGTGAGGCCTTGACTCCTTGTATTCTAACCACAGCGTTATATATTACCGTATTTTCTCGACTATACGCCTATCACGCGGATAAGCCGACTCCCTAATAACAGCTTCGAAATAGTGAATTTATAAAAATTCGCATATACGCCGTTTCCACAAATCGTAACACGGCGCACGCATCTATTACAGTCAATGATGTTCAATTCAAATTTAATATTCAAATATCGCGATTCGCTATCTTCTTGTATATGGCACACACATTCTAGCGCCGCTGTCCACATTTTGATTAAAACAATTTTCGATTATTATATTTTCTGTTTTATCGTAATGGAAGACAGCACTTTGCGGCACAACTAAATTACTGCCAACATGAAAGGAATTAAATCAGCGCCGACTTGAAGTACCAAACGTATAACATGAGGACATTTTTGATTGAAAATATTTTACAATCATTATTTTATATTAAGGTAGTCGAGATATCCTGAGCGGACACGGCAATAAATTTGGGTATTTTTCGCAAGTCTTCTCAAACATGATTTGTGTCGTGTGAGCTTCATATATGGGCTGATATATTTTATAATGTATGCCAAAGTGTCTGCCGATTATTTAATTGACTTTGTATACCAGCTGTTATTTGTCTTAATCCTAAAAACAAAAACATGGCCGGTGCAATGAACTCTCCCTGCCCCATAACGGCATAAATAAAGTGATTGATTTATGACCCTTCCGTTTTGCTGATTCAGGAAAAAACGGAAAACACAGCTGTTGCCTAACCCATGGACGTACAGCACAGTATTTATCACATCATATTCATAGGTTATTTCAACCTTTCAGTTACCGTAAATGGTTGTTCAAAATGATTGAAATTACAGTTTTATTGTTAAGAATTAATGCTGTGAGTATTATTCTACCTGAAACTTCTATCTGATTCTTACTTGTGCACAAATGATAACGTTTTGACCACGAGACGGCTGGTAGATCAATGCTGTTGCTCTTATGCAAAAGATACAATTAAATTTAATCAAATACAAGCGGTCACGTTTATGATCAGCCAATCACACATAGACAAGCGATCGCATGTGTGGTGTGTGCGTGCACGCTCTTTATCGTGAGAATTAAGCATGGTCTGTAGCTGTTGCAATTACCGGCAAGTCAGCATTATATCATTTCGTTGCGTGATCAAAGTCTCGATGCGCGAAGGAGCCGATTTTTTGGTGCTATCTGAGTTATGCGCGCATAAGACGGTCCCTTGGTTGGGCAACTTTTTTTTTTTAGTTTTAAACTCGGCGTATTTGCGAATAAATACGGTAAATACATTATTTTATGCAGAGCCGAAGCTCCTTCCAAAAAAATCTCTGGAAGCTCTGAAGCCATAGCTTGAATAGGAGCTGCAGCCATACTGATTTCGAGTCAGCTCCCAAGCCCTGGTGGTTGGAGTCTAGAAAGTGAATGCATGTGTTGGAAGGAGTCTTAACTGAAATCATGTGGAAAAGAAAGTCTGAAACAGTGGTTCTCAACTCTTTTTCTTCTGTGACCCACTTTTGCAGCACAAAAAATTCTGCGGCCGGTTAACTAGCTTACACAACTAAAAACTAGGAAAAAATCAATTCTTTTAGCAAAGATTTGCACTTTCACTTTAATAATTAAAAAGAAAATTACCATTCAATAGCAAAAAAATAGAATTATCACACTTACATTCATACATCATACATTATCAATGCAATAAAAATGTGCCTAATTTATCAATAAGTCTAGCAATTTTTAATAGATTTGTGGACGTGGCCCACCTTCAAATGTTTGGCTCGGTGGTCTAGAAGAGGGTTTCCCCATTTTTTTGGACCGCGGATCCCGTTTGTGAATAGTAGTTTTGACGAACCCCCCCCCCTCCTATGCTTTATCAATTTCTGTTCCTAACCAACAAGGAAAGATAATATTTCTTCGCAACACAAACCACATTATTATGATATTTGAGGTCGCTTTTCACTGCATAATTTATGCAAAGGTGACAAGCGAACGTTCCCCGCTACAGCAAGTCTAGACCAGCGGTCTGGAAAGTAAAAGTAAGTGGTGGTAGGAGTACGAGTATTCCAAGCAAAGGTCCGACTCTATGGCAAGTCTCCACTAGCTCACACATCAACCCCCCCTAAATCACGACTACACGAACCTCCAGGGGTTTGCGAACCCCAGTTTGGAAAACCCAGGTCTAGAAAGTAAAAGTATGTGGTGTTAGGAGTACGGAAATCTCCCCCCCTCCCCCCAACAAAAAAAAGATAGCATACCTGATCAGACTCTGATTTTCTTATACTATGAACTTTTACGACAGGCGGTCGATTTCCTTTCAATTTTGCAAGTCTATATTCAATTTCTTGCTGAGTAATTGCTTTTTCATCCGCAGTTAATTTGCTAAGTCGTGCTTCAAGATCAGCGACAGTCACATCTGCCAGAATATAAATTATTTAACACACAGTATTAATCAGTGTTCACTTCCATTTTATTAATTATTGTAACGATCAATCTTATCTATATATATATGTTTTTTTATATATTTTTGTGTATAATTTTACATTAAAAATAACAAGCGCTCGTGCTTGAATAAGGGGCCAGTTTGAATAAGGGCCCGGTTAATGAGTTTGGTGAAAAAAATATGGACCCGGGCTACAAAACGAGCACATACTGTATATACTGTGAATCTCCCTTTAGAAAGGGAAAACTGATATGATGGCTCAATCTTATGGCCTTGGCTTTAAAACCTTTAAAAAGAATCTTATACGAGGTGTAAGGAGTCTAAAAATGATTATATGGGGTGAAGGGAGTCTAAAAATAAATAAGTGTGGCAGAAAGAGTGTGAGAAGTAAATAAAAGATGTGGTAGGAGTCTATGTTGTGGATTGCAACACGGAAGCGATATATGTGATGGAGGGCGTCTGAAAAGTATGTATAAGAGGTGCAAGGAGACTACTATTTCAATAGATGAAAGGGACAAGCGAAACAAATGAAATTGAAACTCTTACCTTTTGATTTTGAAGTTTCATCGATAAGATCATGAAAACGTTCCGCAAGTTGCAAATCTTCGTCTGACATTTCCACAGAGACTGTTTGTTTGGGCAGATGACGTTTTTGTGCGTTCATTTTTTCTTTGGCTTCCATTTCACTGAAAAACAAGGACTTAAACTAAAGTGCGACATTTTAAAGTTTGCAAACAGGTAGGTCTGATAAATAAATACAAAAGGGTTAATTCCTTGGGTACTCACAACGTATGCATACCTGGTTGGGGTTGGGCCATAAGTTTAATCTGTTACGAGCTTGGACTGTCAGTGTTAGCTAAGTGAAGTTAGCTGTCCATAGGTTTTAGTCGCTTTACAAAAATTGATGTAAAATGAACAAACAAATTTGTAACATCCACATTGTACTCATACTTCAGGAGCTCCCATTTCTCTTTCTCATATCAGCCGGATTATTACTTATCGATCTTAAGATCGGTAAGTATGTTGATAGGTATTTGTCTGTCTGTTTGTCTGTGTGTTAGATGCACACGATATCTCACGAGAGCGAGGTTGAATCTGCTCCAAATTTTGCATGTGCATTCACCATAGCTCGGATCAGAAGCCTATTGATTTTGGATGGATTATGTCTTATAATTAGCGAGTAATTAATTAATTAGTGATGGGACACACGGTGTCACTATAGTGTAAGACCACTGTTTTGGGGGATCCCCTAACCTTCGATCGAGTTCGGTTTCTAACCGATATTCTAGTTTTAAACTCGGTTCGGGAGATAAATGAACTGTCAGTCACCAAATTACAGCAAGTAGTGTCAACTTTTATTGCTACTCATTAACAGTTATGTAACAATAAAGCCAGACACTGTATAACAGAAAATAAATGACAAAGATAATCCCACACTCACCACTCCCACTCAGAAACAGAGTGGGCAATGCTGAACCAATCAGATCACTGCTTCTTAATAAGTGGACCATGGCCCATTGCTGGGCCACAAAGATTTCAAAATAGGCCACAAAACTTTTAAAAATAGCTAGTTTGATTTGTATCACTATCTATAATTTTAATTGCAGTAACAATGATTGATGATGCTGTTTTCTGCTACTGAGTGGTAAATTTTATTATAAATATCAAAGTGAAAGCGTCGTTCGTAAAAAGAAATGGGCCACGAAAGAAAAAAGATTGAGAACCGCTGGATTATTATTCTCACATATCTCTGGCTGCTTGTACAAGCACAAAATATATTATGTTGACACATATTGATTTACATACCGTTTGAAATTCATTGGAGGCGACCGTGGTCTAGGCTTTGTGTTCCCAGACGTCACAGCGGTGTGGCATTTCTTGCAAACGGAAAGTGTTTTCTGCTCTTTCGGGTCGGTCAATGTACACGATCGGCATTCTTTGCAAAGTGCAATACGGCATCGTTCACATTCAACCTGTCAATTGGCAAGGTGGTTAGGGATTTAAAATTAGCTGTGCTGGCATCGTAGATTCTTAGGTTTAAATTCCATGACATCACCTCACCCAGGGGGCAGAAATTAGGTAAAAAATATCAAACTGGGAAGCCCCCAATCCTTCTTAAAAAGAAATAGCATAAACAAACAAATGTAATGAATTGGCCGATATGAAGATCGATCTTTGTACAGCAGAGAAGTGGAGCCGCAATTACTGGAGTATCCAGTAATTCATAGGTTCACAAAGTGCTCTATACGAAGGCCCAGAGCTCCGGGAAATAAACTTAGGGGGCTCCGCAAACTATTCATTTACCTATTGAAATACTGACTTGGCTAATTTTGTAACTGTCCAAATAACCAACAACGTCATTAATGAAATTTGACAACGGTAGCGTCAAAATGTGGCAACAAGGTGGTAATTACAACAAATATGACAATATCTGTAAGTTCCAAATTAAATTTTTATTTTTTATAAATTTATTGAGGGGCTCGGTGAATGATTGCCAACCTCTTCACAGGCTCCAAATTTGTAAACACACTCAGGGTATCCAGTAATCAGAGGTGTGAAGGCAGCGTATTTCTAACGCTTAACATGATGCGCCACACCGCCGCTGTTTCACATTTTTTTGGTTGATAACAAATATCAGAATATTATGATATGTGCTGTAATCACTTACCTCCTTTCTGAAGATCCCAAACTTAGAAGTGCAAACCCTGCAACGTTTATCCATGTTCAATCCTCTTCAGTATGATAATCCTATAACCAACAACTTTTTATAAATCCACTTATAGGTCAAGTGATTAATCTAACCTTCAAATATCAGGATAAAAAGATTTAGTTGTTTCGTACCTCAAGTACTTCTAGTGGGCGTAGCATAACGTCCAGCGAACATTCAAATATGCACAATGGGGGTCTGGTATAGTTTAGTACCAAATGCACTTCTAGTTGGTCTGGCTCAACAATTTTTGCATATGTCATTCTTAACCCTCACCTGACTATGTCACCAAAAAATTATGTCATTTCGACGTCACAGTGGCGTAATAAGGCCCACCGAAGTATGCGGATGGTCGCCCAAAACGCGCAGACGATCACCCGAAATCTAGCATACTATTTCTCTCGTTTTCTCGTCGCAACGATCCCGATATGAGAGAGGCCGTTGGCGTTAGTGAGTTCGGTATTGTCGGCGCAGATGCCATTCCAGATGATAGTAGCTATACTTGGCAAGCTCTATGACGTGATTGTGACGTCGTAGTGACGTAACAGGAAATCTACCAGGCCAAGTGAATAACAATGATAACTATGAAAAAATTGCGCAATCGATGGAATCCATGTCAACTGAAAGTTATATGCAATCGGATTTAATAGCGATTGAATCCGTGACTGAGTCTAGCCAACAAACCGAAGTACTGAATAAAAATTGCTTCATTGAAAGAAAAACAAGAAATGGTTTCAATGAATGGTACAAATGGATTATCACTCAGTTCCCGAACTAAATACGAATGTCATTCCTAACCCCCACCTGATTACACCATCCAAAAATTAAGTCACTACAACATCACAACTCACATCATATAGCTTGTCAAAGTAGAGCTACAATCGTCCGAAATCGCATCTCCACAATACCGGACTCACTAACACCAGCAATCTCTCTCATATCGATATCATTACGATCAGAAAATGAGAGAAATAGCTTTCTTGATTCCAGGGGATCGTCTGCTCAATGTGTGTTGTGGTGACATAATTTTTGAATGACATAATCAGGCAGGGGTTAGAAATGACATGGTATGCGTAATGGTTCCGCCAACCAACTAGAAGTAATTGACCGCATTTCTGCATTTAGTGAACTAGCCCCAATTAAAACATTAATACGAAAAGCTATCACTTTAACCTTTAAATATTGAGAGAAAAAAAGAGATAGCGATCAGACCAAAATACAAACAGCCAACTGTACGAAAAAAATTTGGCAAAATTAAAATAAAAATTGCTTTGATATGGAGGGAGCGATACGACCATGAGGTATGCGGCTATCGAAGTCAACTCCTACCCTATTTGCTGATGTGATTATGGTTCACATTGAAAACGAACGTACACAAGAACGTACGAAACTACACAAGACCCGCAATTTGCACATCAAGCTGTTGAGTGTGCTCTTAGTGTGACTCCAACTATAATCAGCTTGGCAATATGTTTTCAATAGAATCTTCCTTTTATATTTTAATTAACGATTACAAGATTGATCAATTTGGCAATGGTAACCATTACAAAAATATCAATATGGTGTGGCAAATAATTTTTTTTTTTCTTTTCAAGCATTTATCTATTTTTTTTTGTTTACTGTATAGTATACCCTAAATTTATCGCGTTCTATTCTTACTTAAATAACTTCTCAGTGGTTGTGTGTGTGTGTGTGTGGCTGGTGGGTGCATGTGAGTGTGTGTGAAATAACTTAATAATTTTAGGTGAGTAAACACGTACCACTTCCTCTTGGCAAAACCTTCCATCTTATATTTTGTACGTTTAAACCTTATCTAAGGTTTCGTTTGCTCCCCTGATTTCATATTCAGTTTTTAGTTATTTGTTTTTATCTGTCAAATGTATTGTTATGCTGATTATTATTATAGTACATGCAGACATGTACCATAGACATGCCGGTAGGGGTACGGTACCGGTACCGTATTTCGAGAAAATAAACTACCGGTACTGATCACCGGTGCCTCTGTACCAAGTAGCTGTACTTGTACTGAATTACCGGTAACCAATTTTAAAATCCCATAATCTGACCGAATAATGAAGAAATCCGAAATAAATAAAGTCTCAAATAAGAAAACAGACCCACGCTACCAACAAAAATAATACAAAATAGGAGAAAAGTTGAGCACATCACGTGATGTAGCGTCAAGCATCACGAGTCATCAGCTCCCATGAAGGTGGGTAAATTCAAGATGAAAATTCGTTCCATCTCCCCTCGCTTTATCCCTTCGTTCCATCTCCCTCTGAAGCATTGTAATAAATCGCTGATTAATTTTCTTCCTTCTTTTTCTTTTTTATTTGCACAATAACATTACTCGATAATCAATTTGTAACCGTAACTATAGGGCTCGAGAACGAAGCGTTCGTTAGAAATACGGTACGCTTGCCACCGCACCTGATTCCCCTGCGGCGTTCGCAGGTTCGAATCCTGTGGAGGGGGAGGAGTAATTATGTGCGAGAGGATTGTTGGACTCCTCTCCGCCGTAGGGTGGTTTACGTCAGTTAAATATACGCACGAAACTTCCGATCGAACACCACCAAGTGGATGAAAAAACAACAAATAACTGGTTAACTGGTCCCATATCCGACATGGAAAGAATAGAGAAGAGAGAGAGAGTTTATTTGTTTTGATCACAAGAAAACCTATACACAACTAAAAACATGATTAATTAAATGCAATAGAAACGGGGCCGTGAAATCCTCTCCTGAACAAAATGATTCTAATATCTCCCTCGGCCTTTCCAACCATGAGGGACTTCCTGACCTATTTCCTTCGGCCTTCCCAAACCAGACTCACTGACCTATCTTCATCAGCCCTCTTATCGTCGACCCACCGCCCTATCTCCCTCAGCCCTTCTATCCTCGACCCATTTCCCAGTCTCCCACAGCTTCTCTATCTTCGACCCACTGCCCTATCTCCCCCAGCTTCTCAATCCTCGACCCGACTGCACAACTTTTTCAGCCTCCCTATCCTCGACCCACTGCCCTATCTCCCCCAGCTTCTCAATCCTCGACCCGACTGCACAACTCTTTCAGCCTCCCTATCCTCGACCCACTGCCTCAACTCCCTCTGCCTTCCTATCCTTGACCCACTGCACCATCGCCCTCAGCCTTCCTATCCTCGACCCACTGCCCCATCTGCCTCAGTTTTCCTATCTTTGACCCAAAGCCCAATCCCTAACACCCGTCAACTGCGCCCTTCTCCCCAGCTTTCTTATACACACCTGATAACCTCGACTGCATTCGGGACTTAGCTGCGCCTTACCCACTTTGATTGCGACTTGGCAAATTCCCAGGATTTTGTGCGGTTCTACTACGCCAATGAAATTATTGAAGTGTACCTCGAAGAAACATGCCAATAAGGTTGTATGCATTTAACGTGGGTTTAATGTCTGGAATCGAAAATGGTAATCGACCACCATTATTGCTAGCTTAAAAATATGATCCTTTTACCTTGATATATCGCTACGAGACGTAGCATTATGATGGCAATCACGCTCTTTCAAACGGTAGTTGTCGTATGGGGTTGTCAGCCCAGCGCTGCTTAGAGCAGCATTTCACGCAGTGATATCTTTACTGGTCTCTTCGTCGCGTTTTAAAAGGTCGAGATAAGAGTTTAAAGATCTTCGATCGAGTAGAACAGTTATTTGATTAACCCTAAATTTTATTGGACTATGGATTAGTCTGCTTCTGCTTCGACAATACTTCTCACGTACTCGACATCAACCTCAAGACCCCGGACTGTGTATCTGAAGACAAACAAAGATTTGGACTGTGAGGTTTTATTGACATACTACATAACACTCGGCAACAACATGATTTGTGACCAAATAATAATACATCACTATTGTTGATGAGCCTTCCGTAAACATTCCACCAGCCTATGTACAGCAATTTGTTCTGCAAAATAAATTACCAAGGGAGGCTAACACCCAGACGCATGCGATTTCGGAATCGAACAATAAAAATAAAAAACACCGAAAATTCGGAGCTCCTGTGGTATGTGCACCAAGATGGCGCACAACCTGAACATAGTATGTGTACCAGGTTACGGTTCAGGTTATGCGTTATCTTGGTGCGCATACTTCAGGAGCACCTGGATTTATGTAAATATTGCGACGATGTCGCAAAGTTTTTGAGGGCATTTAACGAGAGATTTGCTTACTTACAAAAATTCAAGAGCCCCCTAAAATTTTTATGTGTCCATTTGACATTCGGGTAAAAGAAGCCCCAGAATATATGCAACTTGAATTGATCGATGTCCAGTTAAGTACGGAAATGAAACGCTTGTTTCAAAGAGATAGAAATTTTGAACTCTTCAGTGAGTATATCGATGAAGATAAGTTTCCCATTTTTTTCCATTTATTATGCCAAAGTATATTATTGCTTCAAAGTTATTGAACTTGAACTTCATGGTTCACGGTCTTTGTGTTCATCTTGTGTTCAGAAATCAGCAAAAGTGCTGTGCAAACCAGGCGTTTGATTGAGCGACGCTCAAATTCTGACGTAAATAGGAACTAGGCCGGTATTTAAGTTTGGTAAAAACGTTTGCGGCGGATTTCCGTTGGATTCGGCAGACCCTCAGCCAATGTATACTCCAAGAATTTTTATACTGCTTTTTCAAATTTTGCACGTGGTGTTGATTTTAGTTGGACCTCAGCTAGACGTGTAATGCAGAGAATCTCAGTCTTATCCGGATTGACCTTCTGCCCCGTTGCTTCTGGGTGTTGCCCCAATTCACGGAAAATGTGTTCCAATGGAAAATAGGAACAGGTTTTGAAGATCGGCATAGTATTCTAGTCTATCTTCTCTCTTCCCTAGCAGAGGATGGCACACACGATGGTGTTGTTGTCAAACCAGATTCTGGAGACGAATCAAAATAAAAGTAGCATATTTTTAAGCTACCAATAATGGTGGTCAATTAACATTTGCGATTCCATACAATAAACCCACGTTAAATGTATACAACATTATTTGCATGTTTCCTCGAGGTTCGCTTCAATAATATCATTGGCGTAGTTGAACCGCACAAAACCTGGAACTTTGCCGACTCGGAAAAAAGTCAGAGTTTGGTAATCGAGA